TTCGGAGACTCCTTACTTTTGATTATTAGTGTTCTTGATGATAGTTCACTGGAAAGATGCATCGAAGGCGTCAGATCTAGGAGTGTCCATTCTGATGATAGTTCACTGGAAAGATGCATCGAAGGCGTCATATTTGGGAGTGTCCATTCTGATGATAGTCCACTGGAAAGATGCATCGAAGGCGTCATATCTGGGAGTGTCCATTCTGATGATAGTTCACTGGAAAGATGCATCGAAGGCGTCATATTTGGGAGTGTCCATTCTGATGATAGTCCACTGGAAAGATGCATCGAAGGCGTAATATTTGGGAGTGTCCATTCTGATGATAGTCCACTGGAAAGATGCATCGAAGGCGTCATATTTGGGAGTGTCCATTCTGATGATAGTTCACTGGAAAGATGCATCAAAGGCGTCATATCTGGGAGTGTCCATTCTGATGATAGTTTGTCCTTCATTCAATTATCTTTTGCATGTCTATTGATGGCATTGGAAACTTCCATTTAATTGATTTCAATTAAACACTTTTCAATCTGACCTGATCTACACAACAATATATGCATTGTGAATTTAACATTTACACATATATACAACTTTATTCAAACATGAAACTATTAAAGATAAAACTAAGTTTTGGCACATATTCTAAGTCATGAAATGAAAACGTGTGTATAAAAAAAACCATTCAATACAGTTAAATTCAGAATATTACTCACGACTTTTAAAGTAACATTTCTGAGGGGGCGCAGAGGGGGAACCTTTTTCCTTTCTCCTGCCCTTCTCTCCTTTCTTCCGCCGCCTTTCTCCTTTCTCCTGCCCCCTTTCTCTTGTCCCGTTCCCTCAAACACGAAAAACTAATTTATAGGAAGCTCATTTTATTAAATAATGTCTTGGTTTTTTATGGCTCGTCCCCGTCTTGTCCATTCACAAGATAAAAGTGTTGTTTCTTCTGCTTCAAGAACCTCAATAGCTTGTTCACTGACTGTTAAGCTGTCTTCTTGCATTGCATTGAAGTCTGTTGTAAATACAAAGGTGGTGCAATTACTTCCTAACGGTGTCAACTGGTATGTCTCTCACTGTGTCTTTGTGAAAATTAAGCCCGCTTTCTTCTTTATACAACATAACTTTGCAAAATGTTGAGGTGTCAAAGACACGAGCTGTGACTTTTCCTATACACAACTGATCATCCATCATGATCGCCAACAAATCATTTCTTCATAAACAACGTCTCCAACCTGGCCATCATCCGATTGTCGTTCTTGGTTTGTTGGCCTCTCCAGTTGGGACTTCATGAACATCAGAAACAAGCAACTCGATTGGAGAACATTTTGGTGGAATGTTGTTTTGATACATGTTCTTTGGGAGAGTCCCAGCATTGAATTTTGTTGTGTCTGACCGAACACTACGCTGTCGAACACTTTCCCATATTTCTCTCTTAACTCGAACAGAATGTTCATGTTTTCTGTTGTAAAAGCAGGAGGTTTTTCGCGTTTAAACTGCGGAAATTGTTCAATAAATAAAAATTGCTTTGGTACCTCATATCCAGATTTTTTCTTTGACGTAAAATAGTGGAACCAACAGAGTGAAACTTTCTTAATATATTCAATGATACCTCTTACGAAATCCTTAGCGCAGTCAAGAACTGACGGAGTCTCTGTCCGTAATCTCAACATGCTATGTAATTGCTCATTTACCAAAGTAAGCACTGAATTAATATCAACTCTTCTCAAGTAATCCGAATCGACACCAGCCAGTTGTTTCATATAGGCAATTCATACTGTAGGTCAGTCCAAAACATCGACATCTTGCCGGACCGTATAAATCCGTAATGGCCAATAATGAATTAGTGACGACGCTCGGAGTATTTATGAGGTCGTTTTCATTACTATGACATTTATTAGCACTTTCTTGTAGCTTTTTATTAACTAATTTGATAAAAGGCTCACTTTTATTATTTTTTATATACATTTTTGTCTCCCTTTTCTCCTTTCTCTTGCCCCTCTCTCCTTTCTCCCGCCCCTCTCTCCTTTCTCCCACCCCTCTCCCTGTAATTCTTTATCCTGTCCGCCCCCTCATTTCTAACTCTTTAGTTTTTAACGTTGTTAAGTAAGACAGCTTTTTATTATAATTCAATAAACGTCTAATCAAGTCTCTTTAGAAAAGAAAACGATAAATTCCAGTTCAACTTGTTCCATATAGTCAAAATTTCAAAGTTGATAAAACCTATTGAAGTTTCAATATCAAAGGGTCTAATTTGGAATGTTTTCCTTATTCATAATAAGAAAATACCTCAAGAAAAGAAAATGGACGAAGCAAATCATTATCATAGTCTTGGACATGCTTTATAAGATGTCACATGATATTGATGAGCATGTGCTATATATTGAAAGACTTGTTGAAACTGGGTCTTTTAAAACCTCAGGGGATTGACCCTACTTCTTTGTTTATATTTACTATTATTGTTTAACAAGATGGAGTTGAAAATTTAACATAAATATATTTTTGCTTTTTAGGGAATGCTTTTTACAAGATATTTGTCATTTTGTCTATTGCTGCCTTGACACATAGTGGTAACGTATACAGACTTTACGATTTATAGTAAAATTCCTTCAAGAAAACCCCCTGAGCTTGAATGTGAACAGAGCTGGTGCTCTTTTCATAACTTGTTCATTATATCATGATCGGTAAAAATCCTTTCAAAACTCAATTTTTATTCGCGATTACAAATCATTTCCATTACTCGAAATTCAAAACTCAAATCTTTATGAGCTCAGACAAAATCTTATAAACCTGGTATCTTTGATGAGGTTTTTTATACTTCGATTCTTATCATTACCAGACCCGATGACATGCCGGAAATTTCCCATTCGCCTTTTTATTTTTTTGTAATAGGTCGCGTTGAAGGACATATGAAGTAAACAGGAACCAAACATTCAATAAAAAACAGTAACTTATATATTTGATTTAGATTTTCAACTAATTTCCCTTTTGCTCAATGTGTAATGTGTTCTTTACTGGTTCCAATAGAAGTATTATGCAGACGCAAATAGTAGTGAACATTTTAACTCCTTAATTTTCTTACTTTTTAGCTACAACAACGGATTCCTGGCAACAAATTACATCGAGTAAGTCATGTTTTAAACAAAAACAAAAAACAAAAAACAAAAAACAACGAGAAGTAACATATAAAGAGGGGCGAAGTTTTCTTTTCCTGATTTAAAAATACGTATGTAGCATACGTATCATTGCCGCTTCAATTTTGTAAGTGTCAAATAATAAACTAATGGGTAGAACTGAAAATAATTAAAATGCTAATGGATTGGTAGATTCAAGGCGAGAAACTGACACGGCCATCGTTCGGGTAAGAGGGTTGGTATGTTGGTCTGATTTAAACATTCGGTATGCTGACAATTATGAGATTGACCTGCTAATGCGGCGTAAAATACACTTTTAAAAGAGACATATTTTATGCATGACTCACAAACACAATTTATAGAGCTTGTGAATTTGTTACATCTAGTTAGAATTATTTCGTAGTGTCTTTTAAAAAAAAGGTAACAGACAGATACCTATTTGAAATATTCAAATCATATTTAATAGTGTCCTTTTAACAACGTATTTTAGCAGACCGCTACTTACTAGTATTTGCAATATTCAAATTATATAAAACAGACTAATCGAATGATGGAAGTTTCAGTTTCTCAGCTGGAATTTTCTGGCTACAGTAAGTAAATAAATTATGTAAATACTAGATCATCTGTCAAAATCGTTCGGGGGTAATGAAGCTGATTATTTGCACATTTAACAAAAAACAACAACATAAACTATTCAGTTTATATTTGATTATTCCTGATTTGTTAAAGCAAGACCACATGGTATGCAGTAAAGTAAGTATGTTTGCATTCATTTTATATAGTGCAGATTCTTTCAAAGTATTGACAATTACTGGAAGAGAATGACATGTAAGAAAGTCCTTGAGAGTTATTTTACGAAAATATCCAAAGTGAAATATACGAAAAGCAATATAAAATACGCCTTTCAATTTGAAAATTACTTAAGATTATGATTCAAAATATATACAACTACCTGAACGTATAGATCTATGTTAAACGTACCCGGTATTATATCTGTATGTGAAATTACCGTTATGAATGTTTGCAGCTGAAATTCTAAATAACGACATTTTCATCAAACGAGCCTTAAAAAATAAGAAGATGGAGTATGATCGCCAATGAAATAACTCTCCACCAGAAACCAAATGACATAGAAGGTTAGTAACCGTAGCTCACCGTACGTGCTTCAACAATGAGCAAACCCCAAACCGCATAGCAAGCTATAAAAGGCATCGAAATGACAAATGTAAAACAACTTAAACGAAAAAACTAAAGGCTTGATTTATGTATAAAGCTGTAAACGAAAACCAATTGATATACAGCAGCAAACGACAATCAATGAATTACAGGTTCCTAACTTGGGACAGGCACACCCAGAATGTGACGGGCTTAAACATGTTTGCATCGGCCCAACCCTCCCCTAACCCGGAACAATGGTGTAACAGCACAACATAAGAACAAACTGTGTAAAATCAGCCGTAAAGGGCTTAACTCATCAGATTGATACCAAGCACAAAACAACTAACATAAACACAAAAGACAAAAAGTACAGATCTGAGAGTACTTACAATTACTAAAAGCTAATTCAAAGTCAAAAACAACTAATAAAAAGTCATGCATCTACGACTAAATTATCAATCGGGACACATCCAATTTCTAATTGATTAAGTTAAATACTTCGTTTACAATCAGAGAAAAACATGACCGTGTACAATGCCAAGGTATAAGTATCGACAGATTGTAGGACCGTGATTGACATATATGTGTACAACAAAAATATTTATCCTAGCTAGATAAAATATGATTCAGAAAAAAAAAAGAAAGAAAGTATATAAAAAGGTCGGTGAGCATGGTTTTGCAATGTAAACATTAAAAAACCTATGAAAAGCGAACATTCTTAAATTGCAATATAATTTATGTGAATTCGTGGAGAGTGACCAAAACTAACATTCATTGCACGTTATTGTTTGATCTTTTCCAGGACCAGATGCTTCAGCAAATCCTGAATGTCTAAGATTGGAATCATTTAAACGTAAAGTCTTTGATATATACAGCCAACCAGATAAATTTGTTAAATATTGTATATAAATGTTAATATAAGAAGTTAAATGAACAACGGGAAACCTTTCAAAACTATTTGTATTTTTTATTTTTTTTTTATTTCTCTCTCCTCGGAGCCTTTCAAGAGCTTTACTCATTTTTAAGATTAGATGATCTGAATCAAAAACTGTTCTGTAAATCTGTAGTTTTTTCTATGTAATATTTTGTAGAGTGTTTGTAGTCGTTTTTTGTTTTTTTGTCAGTTTGTTATCGACTTTTGAGGTTGATTATCCCTTTGGTATCTTCCGCCTCTCTTTAACATGTTCAACAAATACTGAACAAAACGACAAATATTGTGCAATGTTGAAAACAATATCTATATATCTTCTTTACAATTGCAGATTTATTCAGCATAAAAGGTTTAGATGCTTGTGAACCACACCATATAAGTAAGTGTTTGTAATAACATTGATATTACTGAATTAAGAGTTGGAATGGTTGTAGTGTTTCGTATGTTTAAAAGTTGGTTTTACTTTATAAAAAATTCTAAGATTGGAATGTACATTTCTTCTTCACAACCTCAGTGTTGACAGGCTAGTGATACAGTAGTTCGACTAATTAGACCACTCGGTCATCGAGGTCCATCATATTTGTCTTTCATTAGGTCCTTATAATGTAAATTGTTAAGCCATAAACTATGATTTCAAACAGCAACAAGTTAACAACAAGATGAGTACAATTAGTCCCCAACGCAATGCAAATCACTTGAATGTATACTTCGTTTGGAAAGCAAAAATAAAGATAATTATAATATTGGTTACTTTGTGAAATTTGAAGCGTTCAACGATGACCTTTTTGATCGTAGGAGTATTAGAAATGAAATTACTATAATATGTTAATCTTTAGTGGATGAGGTTCGTACGTCAAACAACGACAACATTATTGGTTGCTTTTTCTGCGGGTAGAACTATCAATATCTCTCCGAGAGTATAATTGTTTTTTTTTCTAATTGATATCGTCCGGAACAACGACGTTACATACAGTTGCTTTAGAATGCTTTACACTTTACTTCTCCAGATGCAAATATTTTTTGAAGAACGAATCTGTTGAGATATTAAGCTTTCTTCTTTATACACCATGCATTGCAGTTATAAGGAGGAGAGTTATTTTTTATTTTAGCAGATTGGGATATGTTGGTCTCATTGTAGAGAATTCATAATATCTCGATATTGAACAATGGTATGGCCCCTTTATAGTGATGTGGTCACGTAAGTTGTATTGAAACTGCTAACTTTTGTATATATAGCTGAACGCAAATCAGTATAAATCATTAGCATATGAGTTGATGTTACTAATGTCATCTTTTTCTTTAATGTGTTTTATTGATATTAAAAGATAACCATACATTATCACAGGTTGGCATCATTTGCAGGAGTTAACCAATACGAACTGGCGTTGTCGAGAGAATATAATCAACGTGATGTCAGGTACAAATATACTGTTAAGCAAAATGTTTGTAAACAACATAAATTAATCTTTTATATGAATTGTAAGGAAGCAATTGTATCAAAGAAAGTACTATTATTTTGTTTATTATGATTTCACAATCGGGGAACTCCTTAATTGGTTTGTAGTGATGATGGGTTTTAGTATAATATTCTTATTTTCAAACAGAATCGAATCAATATAATTGATTGCATTCATTTAACACAGTTTGTTTCTTGAAACTATTGAAGAAATTTCCAAATGTCTTGAAGCAGCTCATTTTGACAGAAATCGGAAAATAAGCAGCTGTAAACAACTTCTTGAAAAATTGAAACAGGTTCCAACTCCCTCAGGCATAGTTAAGGGTAAACGAATTAAGATATTTAACAGGCTTTTTTAATTGCACTTTACTCCATTGAACATTTTTGGAAATCTGAAATTATGGCTCTTATCGATTAAGAAAAACGCTCCAAAGACAATAGTGTAGTTTAAGGGATTGATTTTTGTTTTGTCAGTTTTTTTTTAATTGGTTATTATGAGAGAGAAGCCTAAATAATTTTATCTGCTGAGCTATTTTTTAGAGTAGAATGTAACCCGCGTATCTACGAAGAGTTTATTTGTTAACCAATACAAATATGTCATTTTAACATGAAGTAATAAAACTGATTACAACCACGTATATCATTGGCTATTATAGACAGGTATGACCAAGGCAGTACCATATCACAATACTGCAGTTGTAAACCTTATGTGTGGTCAGACAATGGACAACAAAAAGGTAACCAACTAACTTAAGATAAAAACTACTTGATATCATTCATTCGCTGTGGATATAGAAAAAGGGACAACGCATGCAAAATTATTCATCAAATAAAGTAAATCTAGAAAAGGTATCCAATTTGAAGTGATTTCATCTTCATTTGTCATATTTTGAAAAAAAAATCCTTCTAGCACATTAGTAAGTAATGGTAAAGCGTAATATATAGCTCGTTAAATTTTACCAAATCAAGTAAATTCATGCACTTGTTGGCATTTACCCAAACTAAATCAATCGTACAAAATTATAAGTTAAAGATAAATTGAATATGATAACTTAAATCAATCAGCTCTGACTTTTGATTTAACAAAAACAACCATACAGCCGCAATGTTTTGATTTGCCTGTGCGTAGTCAAGAATATTTGCTGCAGTGTTTGATAGTATTATTGGTAACACGTTTATCATACGGTTGCCTTACCTGTACATGTTTTTCCTTTATTTTTTTCATATTCTTATTGTATCATATATACTGGCATAAAGAAGATTTCAAGATTTCACGTGAATTGTTGATATTTGAAACAATTAGCCACAGGAACCCTGAGAAAGGAAGCTATGAATTAACTGTACTTTTTCAGTACAGTTGGAAGGTGCAATCGTCAGGAAGTAAATGATTCTTGTGGCAAAATTAATGTAAGATAAATACTGCATTACTTCCAATTCCTTTCTCCTTGAATACTTTATAGAATGAAGAAACGTGGTATGTTACAATGAAGTTCTTCCAGAGCTTCATTGAATTAATAATAAATCAAGAACCACTTTAGTGGTCTCTCCTCGTCTGCCTTAAAGATTTTAAGATTACATCCAAACCTTCTATAAAGTCACCATTATTAAGAAAAATTTGTCTTGTCAGATAACCCTCGTCTGCTCTTGCTGTAGTAATATCAATGCAACATGAACATATTTTAGACTGCTAGGTTTTCTTACATATATTTCGATGTGCCCCGTGCTGTCTATCATTTGTTGTTTAGTTTTATATGTATTGTCTATCATTTGTTGTTTCGAAATTATTGGTCTTTTGTTGGGCAATGTATGACAAATATATGTTGAAAAACCTCGCCCGTAATTATAAATTATGTAATTCATTGACCGCTCCCGACATGTGTAACTTCAAGGCATATTTTAGCGGCGATCTATGTCTTTCAAAATTACTGCACTTTTCTTGTATCCCTGGTGCTTTCGACTGGAGAACCGTCGTAAACAAGCATCGCACAAGTTGGCACTCCGAGGCGGGTGGGGAGCAAGAAGGTGAACTGTGGTTTATTTTTATCGATAGTACCGCTTAAGTCGACGCTAGGGGCCGTCTTGACCTTGTTGTAGGGAATGGATGATTCGTTCATTGTTGAAGACCCTACATCAACTGTCAAGTTGAAGAACAGGAATAAAAGCCCATTCATTGATAATTTTCTATGTTTTCTATGTATTGTGTGCGATTTTGTCCCATGTACATTTACTCCATATCCTTTCATTTTCTATCAAATCAAAAAGTCACCTCTCTTATAAGGTTAGTTACTTTGGTCCCGCTGCGGACCTTTGTATACATATTTGACTAGTATTTGCTGCTCTCTAGAAATGGAAGCAAAAAATGGGACGCCAGCAGTTGGAAATATGTGTTATTTAAGGATGACAGGTGTACTACAACTGTGTGAATGATCAAGTTAAAATTCGCGTCTATCTAGAACAAAGAAGGATATATTCAATTGTATGAGCATGTTATCGTCTTAAAGATGCATGTATAACTTTCTGAATGTTTAACAGCCATTGTTGAATCATTCAGTCATTTAATTAATTTATAAAGATAGGCACCAATAATTATATAGAATATGTCATCTTTGTTTGATATCATATTTATAAACAGTATACAATTTTAGGTGCTTCGATAACAACACAGAAAAGGTTGGACGGAGTAGCACCAGGTAATGGAATGTTATTATTTTAACTATTGAATGATATTAAAACTTTATTAATTGAGTGCGTCCGAATTGCTTTTACTAGATTTACCTTCATCTGCACTTTTGTAACGGGTGATAGGAATTATGTCAAAAATGCAAAATGAGTCTTTAATATTTAAACAATTGGCTTTACAGAAGCAATATATAAATAGTTTTCATTAAAATTAAACTCAAATTCATCAATGTCGATGAATAGATTTTCTGGAATCAAAGTTTTTATTCAAATCTTTGTACAAATAATGGAAATTGATAAAATCAGAAGCTATGGAACATAAATTGTATATGCAGAACAATAAAAAAAGACTTTGATCAATTTAACCGTCTTTCATGTGAAAACTTTAAAAAAAATCTGATCTTATTATGCTTGTATAATATTTTAGAAAAACTCTAAACGATAGGTTCTGTCGCTATTCAAAATGTACGAGCGGGCCAAATATTTATCTTCAATTCATTGTCTCTCTACAATTTTCAGAATGTTTTCACTACAAAGGATGTCAAGGTAGGATTATATTCTTGGAAAAAAACAACATTCTTGTGAATCACAAGGGGTGGCTTTTAAATAATGTGTTTGTTATTGACAAAGGAAATAAAGTCTATCTGGTTTCTAGATAATTAAAGTAAAATTGCTTACACATATGCAAAATATTAATTTATAGTAATAAAACATATTAAACAAGAAAAAATTGACGACTTAGTACAAATTACCCGCTGTGAAACTAAAAAAAAAAAAAAAAAAAAAAAAAAAAAAAAAACGCGGTTCCAATACTCAGCCTCAGCAATGACAAAAGTCAACCAGATTAAACTTATAAGGAATACATATTTAGAATGCAATATTATATAAAATAACATCTGAATTTCTACAAGGACTGCTGGAGAAGGAGCAGAAACTTGTCTTTTCGTGACCTGTCTAATTGTGTCAAAATTATGTCGATTGGATTAAAGCTTATATTTGTATATGTAAATCGAAAAATTATCACAAAGTTTAACCTTTCATATCAGCAACAAATACTAGCAAGGACAATAAGAAAAGTAAAGGATAATTTCAACACAAAATTTCCTTGCGATCTGCCATTACTAATCATTCAATTTTACGTACCAGCTCATTATCTACAAGACCAGTAGGAAATCGATCTTTCAAAGATTTTAAAATAATTTGGAAATGTGTTCAGGTCAAAATTAGCTTATATGGAACCAGTAATTTATTATTTCAATAAATTTGAATAATTAGCATATTAACCACACAGGACCACGGAACATTTATCTTTTAATATCTATTTTTTCAGAACTGAAGGTGTTATATGAAAATGACACATGTGCTGTTCACGAAATAGGTCAGTGTGAATCAAACATTTAATAAGTATATTGACTAATTTTATTTTAATTTTTATGACTATCCTAAAGGCAAAAGTTGCACTTTAAGAACATTACTTCGGGGAAAAACAAACCCCATAATACCGCTGCCTTTTTAATAATGAATTTAGGTTACACTTGTTGCTTCTTTTTTTATCGTTTTACGATGAAAACGTATGATATGAGTTTACTATAGTTTCAAGGGGTCAGTAAAACTCCTAGCGTTGTTAATTTTCAATTTATAATTGTAGTGTGGGAAAGCTTGAAAAATTGTCCGTCAGACATTGATGTGGAAGGACAACCCGTGTCGTGTCAAGCGACAATCGTAAAAAAGATGTATGGTAGGTATTATACTAATGAGATTATACCACGGGTTTCAGCAAGAACATATTAACATAACAAAGTTGGTTGTATACTTGTTATGTTATCAAGGTGTAAAGAAAGGTCATATTGTACTGTAGGACACAAGGGATTATATGAATAGCTCTTTATCATCACGATCAGAATTAAAAGCTACGAAAAGTCAAAGATGAATAAATAGATAGGAAGCAAAGAAGAAAAAACTCAGAAACAAACAAAAAAAAATCCCCGGCACATTATCTCTATCAAATTTATGATGTGTGCATTGTGTTCTTTTCAATGGTAACCTAATTAATTGACCTATAAGAAGTAAAACTTACGGTTAATAAAGAATTGAATTACAATTATATTCTACGTTTGACTGGAAATGACAATTTTATTTTGCATGTGTTCTCTATATTTTCATTGGGTATGCTTTTGTTTTAACAGTTATTTGTTCGTGGTGCGAATCCACGCCAATAAGTGCATTGTTATGTATGATAACATCTTTGCTATAACTGTTGCTGATAGGCGTCTGGTTTTTTTCTCTCGAGCAGAATGTATATATGTATACCAAGCCACGTCAAATGTAGACCTTTTATAATAAAATAAAATGAAATGACTGTCAAACAAATTGGAGGTACTTGTGCTGCAAGACCTCTTTTAACCTAGTGTATGGTCTGAAGTAAAAATGTGACCGTAAGTTGCCAATTGTCCCCTTGATGTTGGTTTGAAAAGATTTTATTCGGGAGTAGCCTATATACAGGACCATTGATTTGTTTGATTATTCCACGATGTTTAACACGTTTGTTATCTCATATCTTTACTATTAAACTTGATCAAAAAGACAATGAAGAATGTTTTCACGATTTCGTGTTTGTTTTCCAGAAAGATTTAATGGTTCTCTAGAACAATACGAGAACGACAAGTGTTTTTGTTATCCGTCTTTCGGACTGAAAACAGGTAAGACACCAACATAAAGAGTCGATTTCACAATAACTTGACCAATCGTAAAACTCAAATGTAAAAAAGGGCATGGTCGATTTATCCTCTTTTGTTTATTTTTTTTTATCAAATTTGTATATAAAAAAGCTGAAGGCATACTTTACGAAAATACTATAGCAAAAAGCATACCACCTGTCATACCGGTACGTCACTAGGATTTAAAAAACGAAACAAGAACCAACATTTTGAGAGAATAGAAAATATAGGCATTTATTTTGACGACAACAGGAATTTCTGAGCTAATGTATTCTATAAAAGAGGCTTGTACAATTCTTATTTATCAAATGCCCTTTTAGACTTTGAATTTCAATCCAATACAAAGACCGACCGACCAAACCAGTATGTCTACAAAATCTTGTCATAGCAGAAGAAATGAATGCTAGGCGTATGATATCATTAGACTCCAATAGTTTCGACCAAGTGTTAAATATTGTTGTGACGTAATTCATTCATTGTGAAACAATGAAATCAATACAAAACCGTTATTAGTCCAAGAGTCTACCTTCAGCTGTCTGTTCTATTTAGAAAGAACAGTTATAACAATATCAAAGATCCGATACATATAAAATGGTTTCTTAAATGCACTGCCTATATACAAACAGAGACATTGTATTAAATGTTACCAATTTTCTTCGAACTAATAGAAGAGTTTATAAACCTTCCAATGAAACTTGTTCCTTAATTTATATGGTTACAAATACATCTTAAGTGTCTGACTGTCAACTTCTCATACGTTTTAAGCTTTTGGCATAGATTGGGGTCCTATATCTATAAGTTATCTCCATAAACATTTGTTTTAAGTTTCCCATTGCAAAACAAAGGCAAAAATTGTCTCCACAAAGTTATACTTATCCAACAGGAAGACAGGAAAATATCTACAGACAATATGTTTTTTAAAGCAACAGTTTGTTTGCCAGTCTCCAACAATTTACATTAATGTTTCACTGTAACAATAATTCACATTATTGCCCTTTAACATGTCCATTTTTGAAAGTTTCATGAAAATAGAAATATGATTTAGTTCCTCTCCTTTGTAATTAAGACAAGGTGGAAACTTTGGAGACATATATCTCTTGAGTTGCTTATTCAATGTGTTATTATTAACAATGAAATATTCTCTTTATTTGTAGTTCCAGCCGATTGTAATAAATATGGTGGTTTTAGCAGTAAGTATATGCATACGTCACATAACACTTAACGTAATACGAGTACGATAGATATCTTACTTTTTCTCATTTTCATTTCTTGATATTTGTTATTTTCTTATTATGTCATTGTCCGTCCGTCTAACAACACGTTCTTATGTTGAAAGTAACTCTATTTCTGTTTGGAATTTCTTAGAACTTAGCTGTACCCTCTAAAAACCGCGTTACCGGAGAAATCGTAGGCGGCATATCATATTTTATGTTACAACGCGAAAATAAGTCACGCGAATAGTATAATGCACTATTAAATAAACTCATTTTAAAAGACACTGGTCATTACTATAAAACACAAATAAAAAATGCAGGTAAAACATTACGTCTCTTTCACTTTAAAATATAAATAAAACGGACAAAATAACTCAAGACGCTTTATCATTGATATTGGAATATATTAAAAAACAGTAAGAACACTGGAGTTCATACGCGATGTCGTCGGAATTAACAACTGACAGTAACAAGTTAGATTTCAATGTTTTCGCCATTTTGATACCGTTGATAATCGGACATATCACTGTATTTGGTAAAAAATCCCATTAAACCGAATTTTATTGATAAACACCTTTTACATAATACCTTAAGCTGCCTAACAGAGCAAACTTAAGGGTTCCCGTCTCAAAAATTCTGGCAAAATACAAACGAAAAAAAAGAAACCCGACTCCCAGTATTAATAATCACGAAACTATATCTTTAAATTACATTTTTTTAATATAATTATTTGTCATCTTTATATATTTTGAATTCTTACCTACATTTAATCTGAAATGATGTTATTTAGATTTTGGTAAAACGTTCTGTGTTTTTACTGTATCCAATAAAGTAAACAGTTATGTATTGAATGATATATGTATAACAATTTCACTTTTTGAATTGCTAATGAAAATAAACCTGATATATTACTATTTTAAATGAGCTACCAAAGGGTACAGTAATATTACAGTATTATATTCTTTTGCATTTTTCACAGGATTACATGTAAGTGGATTGATTACCAACAACTGTATGACACATTTTTCAGGTAATGATGCGTCAAGTTAATGTGCTTTGTAGTGACAAAAATTCTCGTTTTTAGTAAAAGTAAATGGTATGAACATGTATTTATACTAGTTTGGCCACTTACAAAGGTAACAATCTAAAGTTTATTTCATAACGCAATATATACATTTTTTCATTTGTGATGTGACACAGTGTTCTTGGCTCGTATGTAAATACGGATGCAAGTGGATGACATACAGCAACGATCAAAAATATAGATTCTGACAAAATTAGGGTCACAGTAGTTTATCAATGTTCAAATCGATTAAGAAGACACATCAAGGTAACAAATGAAAATTTCAGAAATTGCATAAACTCCTAAAGGAGCGAGATTCTGACAAAAATGGTTAAGGTTAATGCGTGTTTCGAGTATTTTTGTTAGGCAAAAAATTATCGGAAACTTGCCCTAAGTCTATCAAAATAAAGCATTAACAGCATCAAAGTGTTTAATTATGAAGTCACAGTGACATTGCTAATGAGTTTTTCTAAAATGATACAATACTAAATTAAAACATTGATATTGAATTTGTATGAACATACTCTTATATATAAATAAAAGGTATCGAATCTATACCTACTGTTTTGTCTTATTATCTGCACATGAAATTAAAATTGAGGTCCTCCATTTACTTTACAAATTGTTGTTTTATAATAATGTATAGGGAGATATTCTTTTTGTTCGCTTTTAGGTAAAGCGAGTAGTGGTCTTAAGCATAGCAAACTACTGCTCCAACAACAATGCTTCTTGGTGTTAATAACATTCATACCATTGTTAATATAAAAGAATGTGATAGGGCTGAATTTTGATATGTCTTTATACTTGTCTTTTATTTAAATGTCCCTGGATATTAATGAGACAAACAAAGGTTAATGATACAAAATGAATGGAAAATATTCTAAAGACTGCTCTTATCCCACTAGCGCTCATATTGCAAGGTATGACCTCTTTAATGAGACTTGTGTAGAAGAATCAGATTGTAAGCATCGATATATTTGATGAATGTTTACATCCACTAGGTAGATGGAACTGCATTATCAGCCCAGCAATTAGTACTTGGTGTTGACATGACATATATCATTCAATAATCATTTTCTGAAAATTTTCTGCTTTTAAAATTTCATTTCCTGGTTTTTGAAACGCTAAGGCTTTTCTTCCCCCGGTCATAGATGACCTTTGCCGTGTTTTGTACAACGTTTCGGAATAATTGGTAACAATGCACAAAAATTCAATTTTGTCTATCAATTTCTCTTATTTGAGCACTAGTGATGAGTCTAATCAAGAAGAAACGGTCGTCTGGCGTAACATATCCGAGGGTATAACCAGCCCATAAGTCAGCACCATGTGTTGAAATGAAATGATATTGTTATGGCCATTTCTTGAACAGATTTCTCTTTATAAAATTTTGATTTACACGAAAGGCTAAGGTTTTCCTACCTTCAGGCATAGATGACAATAAACGCATCAAAGATTCCTGGCTTATAATTATGTACGCCATACGCGCGTTTCGTCTGCATAAGACTCATCAGTGGCGCTAAAATTAAAAAGTTGGTAAGCCAAATCAAATACCAAGTTGTAGAGCTATATATACCGTAAATTCCGAAAAGTTGTGTTAAATATGGCTACGTCAATTTTTACCTGAGGGAAAAAAAAACTAGTGTTTCGAATAATTCAACATTTTATATACAGTAAATTTACTAAAAATAAAAATATCAATGCCTATGTTGTATTTTGCACACATTTTCGAAATTTTTGGCTTGCAATGCTCTTCAAATTCATGTCTGTTTAGACTTCCGACTTGTTTTTGTCGAGCACCACTGATGAGTCTTATGAAGACGAAACACGCGTCCGGCGTAAAAAATTGTAACCCTGTTATCTTACGGTACTCTATATGCTGCAGTACATTTACCAGCAGGTTTGACATAATGATGAATCACAAACATATAGCTTACGTTGAACTCCAATCAACTGTCTTCCAAGTACCATAACACAAAATGTGTTAGAAAAACATAATTTTACTTTAAAATTTAACAGATGGAACCCTGAGATTTAAGGTTTTAATGTTAAAAAAATGTGCCCATTTGGTACCAAGTAACATAGTTATCGTAAGTTCTTAGTTCTAGTGTTACATCCTTTAAGGACACGTTTACTGAAAGTTCATTATTTTCAAAGCGTTAGTTTTGTGACCTTCATATTAACAGACAATTGTTTAGTTCTATTCACAAACGTGAAATTGCCGACCTCGAATTTCTGACACAATTTAACCTAAATCTTTTTTACATTGTAGTATGGAAATATCTAGCAACACAACCAGCCGTCTGCCAGGATTGGATTATAAACTTCATGTTAGGTAGGTTGGTGACATACGTTCACAATTAACCATACGCTACCAAATAGATTTCCGACTCAAACGATCATTTTGATCTTAACAGACCTTTCAAGACTGACCAATACATAAGTAAATTATGTTCATCCTTTCTGTCAAATTTTCAAATTTCAATGCTTTTTTTCAGTAATGTTTCAACTCTTCTGAGTGTGATGTTTTACTATCTATTTTCATTCGTTTCCCAAACTTTAGTTGTATGTAAATCAATAAATGATGAATTGTGTGATAATGACTGATAAAAAAAATGAAAAGAAAATTATAGATCTTGTGCATCTGAAGCGCTTTTCAAGATTTACCTTCACAAAGCACACTCAAACTCAAACATCTGAAATCTAATAATGTATAAAATCTAAACACGTGAAGAGTAATATGAAAAAACCAAGAAGAAATATAATTCAATCTAAGCTCAACATTAATATTAATAATGGAACGACTCTACGCGAAACGTCTGGGCAATACTAAATTTATCGCAAGGAAAATATCGGTAAACAAAACGAAAACTCTTAAAAAGTTCGCTTTTTGCATTTCAGATAAAATTATCACCAAGCTGACAGTTTCAGGCAAAAATTCATTTATGAGTGATATAATAAATATTTTTCTTTAATATCAGCATATATTGTCGTTCCTTGATTCTTGAGAACTCGATCGTTTTTTTCATTAAAAACTTCAACACAATACATCTCTTGTCGTAAAACTTCAAGAGTTGGTAATGCATGCTTATTAAATACCCATATTATAAGTTTATTACTAAAAGTTCTAACAATGTTCGTATTTGTATTCTAATTTGTGTTTGCATCTTACTTTGTTTGTATGTGTTTGCATCATGCGTTTGTGTCTTTGTTTTGTTGTTTTGCGTTTGCATTTTCCCTTGGTGCTATCTGATATTCTTTGCACTATACGCAATGCCAAATATCTAATTTCTGCAGCACTTAGGCAATTTTGAAACACAAGCTCATGGTATCAGCAGTGAGATATTGCCACATGTGGAGCAGGATCTGCTTACCCTTCCGGAGCACCTGAGATCACCCCCAGTTTTTGGTGGGGTTCGTGTTGCTTAGTCTTTAGTTTTCTATGTTGTGTCATTTGTACTATTATTTGTCTGTTTGTCTTTTTATTTTTGGCCATGGTGTTGTCAGTTTGTTTTCGATCTATGAGTTTGACTGTCCCTCTGGTATCTTTCGACCCTCTTTTGCTTCATTACATATAAACTCACTATTCACAGCGGGAAATTTCGGAATCATCTCTTCGTTGTAAAGTTGTTTTTTAATTGGCCGTTATTTTGAACTTGTATGTGTAGAAATAGAGCAAGTTAAAAAGTGGACCTAGCTCCCTATCTTTAATATACAATATTGTATGAATTTTGTATATGGTACATAAAATAATGCAACGAAATATTATGAGGATCATAACAAATAATGAACACTATTTTCAGATCAGTTACACGACGATTTCAGCTGTGATTGTCATGAACATCAAGAACCTCCTCAAACTGGACATGGAGTTAGTTTTGTTGGTCGATCCCTTAAAAAAAGAGGTAACGCAAACCCTTTCATGTACAATTAAGAAAGATTCACTGTTTACCGCCATTTTGGATTGAAGTATAGCAGTACACAGTCGGTCTAGTTCTTTGCTTAAATCTGAAAATTTTGAGACAGATTGGCAATAAATGCGTAATAAAATTGAGAATGGAAATGGGGAATTTGTCAAAGAGACAACAATCCGACCATAGAGCAGACAACAGCCAGAGGCCACCAATGGGTCTTCAATGCAGCGAGAAACTCCCGACTGTTTATCGAAATAAATAAAATGAGTACTTTATTGCATTATTCAGACTGTTTAACAAATGCCAAACATATCTTTTTGTTCAAATCAATTTTTCAACTGAGTCATTTAAGGGGAGATAACTCCAATAATAAAATTTTATAAAGGAATGTAAATGGAATTTTCATTTTTTACTTGTAGCAACAAAAAAAAAACCAGTACGGTTGGCACCATTTTTACTTTCATTTTCATATTTCATACAAGAATAATCTATGCAGATTTGTTGCTAGAAAAATAGCACGATAACCCATACTTTATTTTATATTTTTGAAAAAAAACATGGTTAAATCTATATTTTGGCAAAGCATACGAAAATCCTATCAGAGGAATATATACCCATGATCCGCCTTAACATTGACAACTTTGATAACAAATGACAAGGAACCAATTCAACTGAAGTAAGTTTGCTGAGCATTTTTTTTTAAATGAGTAAACAGAAAAATATGAATGTTTTTAGAAACGATGAAAACAAGAAAAAAGTTAATGCTGCTACAAGTTAGTAGAATAAAACTTCGCATTTACTTAAGGTTACAAGAGCGCATTTTTTTACCCCAAGAACGTACTAAAAATAAAATCTTGTGCGACTCCTCATTGGATGATACAGGGTTGCAATTATTTTTTTTTATTGGAAGCTTATCCATTTAGGTTAAAAAAAAAAACAGAAAATTAAATTCATATTTTATAAAGTGTAAACATTGTATTCAATTTATATACGAAGGAGCTATTATCTGTTCTTAATTTCCCATTAAGTGAAAACAAGTCGTTTTTTATAACTGCATTTTAGGTCAACTATTGGCGCATGACCATATATTTGTTTTGCATGGCTGTAATAGAACGCAGATATTTCTAGTAGCAGGAACTGCTAATCATAATTGGTGTCTAGTTTGTATATTCTTCATGAAAAAGAATATGAAACACCACTGATAGGTACCCTATTGGACCACTGATAGGTACCCTATTACCACTGATAGGTACCCTATTGGACCACTGATAGGTACCCTATTGGACCACTGATAGGTACCCTATTGGACCACTGATAGGTACCCTATTGGACCACTGATAGGTACCCTATTGGACCACTGATAGGTACCCTATTGGACCACTGATAGGTACCCTATTGGACCACTGATAGGTACCCTATTGGACCACTGATAGGTACCCTATTGGACCACTGATAGGTACCCTATTGGACCACTGATAGGTACCCTATTGGACCACTGATAGGTACCCTATTGGACCACTGATAGGTACCCTATTGGACCACTGATAGGTACCCTATTGGACCACTGATAGGTACCCTATTGGACCACTGATAGGTACCCTATTACCACTGATAGGTACCCTATTACCACTGATAGGTACCCTATTACCACTGATAGGTACCCTATTGGACCACTGATAGGTACCCTATTACCACTGATAGGTACCCTATTGGACCACTGATAGGTACCCTATTACCACTGATAGGTACCCTATTGGACCACTGATAGGTACCCTATTACCACTGATAGGTACCCTATTGGACCACTGATAGGTACCCTATTGGACCACTGATAGGTACCCTATTACCACTGATAGGTACCCTATTACCACTGATAGGTACCCTATTGGCACCACTGATAGGTACCCTATTACCACTGATAGGTTCCCTATTGGTACCATTATGATGTGTCGACAATCACATCATTTATTACATATATACATTTTTATAGTTAATAATTTTGTATATTAAAAAAACTTGCATTTCCCTTATACAATTTCAACCTCAGGAGCTTTTTGCCTTTGAGAATATCCGATGTGTTTATCTTAAATATACTGTCTTTGACTTACCAAACTTCAGGAGAAGATGCCAAGTGGACATGCAATCAAACACATTTAAAAAAAGGACCGCAAACCATTTGATATCCTGATGCTTATTTTTATCATTTTCTTCTTAAAATCCAGTAATTTAAGTGTTACTACATAAGTGGTGAATTATCGTAGATTAGAATTTGTTATTTACACAGTTTACAACAATGGCTTATAATTAAAACAAAATGTAATTTTTTCATGTCCCATATACTTGACATTGTTAACGTCTTCAATATATATATTATTAGTTACATAGTGTGCTAGTGACCTAATACGGTATATGGGGTCAGTAAATTACATATGGGGTGAGAGCGAAGCTCGAATCCCCATATGGAATTTACTGACCCCATATATACCGTATTACGTCACTAGCACACTATGTAACGAATTTATCTTACCGACTATCTTAACGTGTGAATTTTAGACTAGTCTTCATCATCAATTTCTTCGTCAGTTGAAACCTTTGAGATTTTTCTCAGTACCGTTTTGTTTTTATAAAGGGACGTAACACCACCACTAACCGTGTATGAAATAAGCCCCGCCTCCCTACTAACCTAATATGGAATATACACGGTCTCCACGCGGACGCTTTTAACCAATCATATTCCAAGAAATGTATAGGAGGTAAGATAAATATATATATAAGATCAATGATACATTATATTAAACTTAGATTATCACAAAAAATACTTTTACTTGTGTAGCGCCCCGCATCATTCATATATCATCTGTTTTCTTTATATAACTTTTGTTACTACAGATACACCTTTCTTGCCGTCATGTGAACATGATTCGCAAGGATGGAAAGGTAAGTCAAGAGATTTAACAAAAAGTCAAGCTATACCAATTACTATCTGTTCAGTTTCTTTATTCGTTGCTTTTGTTTTGTTCACGTAATATAAAGATTTTTCATGTTTGACAGTATGTTAAAACAATAAATTAAAAAAAAAAAATATTAGGCTGTTTAAGGTTTATGTGAACCCTTTGGCTAAAATGGCTGCGTTTTAACCTCAAAACTTACTCGGAGTACAGACAAACCTGTGCATCTGGAAAAGTTTTAAGGAATATCGCTCAGGATAAATAAAACTCAAATGCATTTTATGTTTTAGAAAATTAAAAACTCAACTGGACTTTGCTGTGCACTTTTTTCGTCCTTGCAGAAGATGATCAAAATAACAATTGAGTTTCACTTGATATGGTCCACTCAGTGACATAGTTTAAATCTCGAATAGGGTCCACATGAACCTTCATGAATACTCAGATCGAAGCAAATAAGCTCGCTTTTTACTAAGTGGATTAACAATCAACAGTACCTTCGTTTACCTAATTGAATAGTTTCAATTATTATTACAAGCTAGTCGATCATTTCATGCGACAACTTTCAAAGATTATTGATAACAAAATTTATCTGACAAAACGTCTGAAACCCAGGCTATTAGTATTTACAGTAGAGTTTAAAAGTATGTACTTCATATTTATCTAATTATAGACCTTGTTCTGCTGTTCATTGTTGCGACAGTTTGTCTGCCAAACATGGGCATTTAAGGGCAATACTCATGAAGCAGATATCATACAATTTCGGCCTTACACACCATGAAGATCTTAAACTCGTCGTCATATTCTGGGCTGGTGTTTTTGCTGCAGTGCTAGTTGACCTGTTGACTAGTGTGCTAAATTAGTAATTATCAAACCCTGTATTGTGTTTTCTCTGTATGGAATTTGAATATAGGTCAATAACGCTTTCTTGGTTGACTAGCTTGTTGAGTTTGTTGTTACTTGTTGCAGTATCAAAATGGAAATTCGAGATATTTCGATTTTTTGTGTGAAAAGGCAAATACTTAAAATAAATATTGCTTGTGTTCTGTGATGGGTTCTTGCACATAAAAAAGAATTTACCAATATTGAAAATAATAAGTGCCGTTATTCTGTTTTCTCTCTATGGACAATTTCTTAGCTGACTAGGTTGTTAATACTGTTGAACATATATAAGACTGTGAAAAGAGATAAGGTAAATGACTAGTAATAAATGTATTTAGTTGTTCCGATTGGTCATGTGTTGTACGTTGGTAGCCAGGTCGTCATAGACAGAACAAGAAGTTTTTTTTCACTGGTTACTGGTTCCTGTTAACCAACTTATGCACCACACCTCGTCGAGACCGGGCATACCCATATGAAAAGTAAATTGTATAAAGTGCTGTTGGGCTACAATTAATTAAAATTTTGCAAATTTTATATGTATTTTTAGGGACATCGAGCTCCAAAACGAAATAAATTTGTATCTGTTAATTATAACCCATAACTATTTTTTCGTTTGAATTCCGTTTTGGTTTGGAATGTTTTTGCTGTTCATTTGTGAAATAAATACCCCGATTTTCTTCGGAAAATGCCTGTACCAAGTCAGGAGTATGGCAGTTGTTTTTCACTTGTTCCGTTGATTGATATGGTTTGATTTTGTAAGTTTTTATGGACTTCCCCTTTTAGAATTTGGCTTGGAGTTCAGTATGTTTTTATACCTTTTTTTATGTGCAATTCTAATTTGTATGATGAGTCTTGTTTTCAGAATCCAGATCGTTTGTTTGGAATTATTTTCTTCTGTAAAATGTATTTAAGTTCCAAACCGAAGGCAGGTGCCAGCCCCATACAATACACAAAAGAAAATGTCATACTATGAATCAAAGATGTTTTGAAATTTACCTATATTATGGAAATAAGACTTTTCATTGAGCGACACTGTTAGTATATTTTAGGTATTATCATGTTAATGCTAGTTGTTTTTCAACGACAGTTGAGCATTATTCAAATTTTTTATTTTTTTTTCTACAGTGATGCAAACTGACTTCCTGTCAAATGTATGCCGTTCTCATTGGTACAGTAAGTTTTGTCTTTTTTTAATTAAGAAAGTCTATTAAGCAGTATCTTCTCATTTAATTGTCACTTCCTATTGTATGTACCAAAATGATCGAGCATATCAAGGAGTTTTCAAAGTCGAAATCGATTTTAACTTCTTTTGGGGTTTGTACAATGCATTGTTCTTCTACATAGACGTCTTTGCAAGACTTTGAAGGGTCGGCTATCAAATTTTGCAATGTTTTACTTACTGTTCATATATAGTTAAGACGACTCTGTATCATTAAATTATTTTTTTGGATTAAATTTCTTCCTTTCAGAATACTTGTTAGATTTTGTATATCAACATATTGCATGAAAATCAAACATTTCTTTTTCTTCTTCTTCTTCTTCTTCTTCTTCTTCTTCTTCTTCTTCTTCTTCTTCTTCTACTTCAGAAAACGTACTTATAATTGTTATGGTCATAACTTGTTTTGTTTTAGTTTGGAGACATCTTGCAGACACCCACGGTCATTGCAGACGATATCTGATTAACGAAATGTTTGGTCAGTTAAGTACATGTACATTAGTACTTTGAAATTTCAACATAATTGCATGTTAATTAAGTATTGGTAGAAGATCATAGAAAAAATATTAGATTCTTGATAATAGTTATGTTCCGACAAAAGTCATAAATATCAGTTCTCCTAAAAAATTGTATCTATTCATGGGCAAATATCTTCTGTTTTTTGACAGAAACCTAACTTATTCTTTTTACTTGGATATTGACCATTAGAAAAGATAGCGACATACAATTTTCAATACATGTCAATTCAGTTTGTCCTACTAGTCTACAGGAATCAATGAATATCATAAGGTACGATCGTTCTTTCATTGAATAAAAAATACACTTATACTAAAATTTATCAAAATGAGACGTCGGAACTTTCATGTTAAGTCTTCTGATTTAAAGATTCGGTTAAACTGCGAGTTTATCATCGTCTGAAACTACAGGGATATCAGACAAACTAAACACCCCAGTAATCCTTATTTGTTTAACATGTAGTGTGTGCTATTTTATATTCTCCATTTTACAACGAGGTTGTTATGGTGTGTATGCCTTTTTACAAATTTTGTTTTCAATGAAAAGAATACAAATTTGCATAGTCATTGAAAGTCCAACAGGTGGTCGATTCAAGCGTTTTGAAAAGATTTGATCATCTAATTCAAATAATTTGTTGGTTTTATCTTTATTTTATTTAGCAAAATTCGCGTCAACCACGCCACACTGTAAATGCGACTCAAAAATGACGTCAACGCCTACACTTCCTACTACCACAATACTGCCACGTATGTATTGAAATAAATCAAAATGATAGTATGTGTCTCATTGCGAGAAAAACAAATTATTCCATTCGGAAAGACTGGATTTTGAAGACTTGATCTTCTCTCTCTCTATAAATATATTTTTATAATAGAAATAAGAAGATGTGGTATGAGTGCCAATGAGACAAATCTCCATCCAAGTCACAATGTCTATAAAGTAAACAATTATAGGTCAAAGTACGGCCTTCAACACGAAGCCTTGGCTCACACCGAACAGAAAGCTATAAAGGGCCCCAAAATTACTAGTGTAAAAAGAATTTAAAACAGGAAAACCAACGGTCTAATCTATATAAAAAAGCGAGAAACGAGAAACACTTATGAACCACATCAACAAACGACAACCACTGAACAACAGGCTCCTGACTTAGGACAGGTGCATACAAATGCAGCGGGTTTAAACGTTTTAACAGGCGCCAACCTTCATTCTAACCTGAAACAGAAGTATAACATTACAACATAAAAAGACACACTATAAAATATCAATTGAAATGGCTTAACTCGATCAAAAAGACATATAAACAAAAACAAGTAAACATACACTGAACGAATAAATTTGATCTATGACACAATATAAATAAGATATTAATAAAAAAGATGTAAAACAATGTCAGAAAGACAACTATAAATTTCTTTATGTACTTCGTCTGAAATGTAGCCCAACAATATATAATTCTGCAAATTTGCGTCGGCAATTGTTATTTTTCCTCAGTGGGATTCATACCCCTGTTTTTCTTTAACATCAAAATAACACCACCTGCACTGTGGTCAGTGCCCTAGCCCGCTCGGCCAGCTAAGCTAAAATTGTAGCTTTCGTTTTTCGAGTAATGCCTTTTCCTAGTTGGCTTTATCTAACTTTGTAAAAACTCATCAAGACACCACACTTATAATTATATACGCCATACTCACGTTTCGTCTACATAAGACTCATAATTGACACTCGAATCAAAACAGTTGGAAGGCCAAATCAAAAACGAAGTTTAAGAGAATTAAAAGTCGACAATTCCGAAAAGTTGTGCTAGATACGGCTTAGGCAAGCTATGCCTTGGGAGTAGTAAAGATAGTTCTATAATGTATTGGGGCAAGTAGATGATATACAAATATACAAATAAAATAAATATAATTAGACATATCATAAAAAATATAAACCCGAGAGCGAGATAATATTGGCCATTTTGCCAATCTGATTAAAAATATAATACATATTTATCTACCCATGTTATAAATGCCGCAGATATGATTACGTGATCATGGAGAAAAAATATTGGCATTTTATATATGCAACATTCAAATGTATACAAAGTATGTATGAGTTTGATTGATGGGACATGATTAAAAATTATCATTTCCTTTACGTTTTTTAGGGTTGCTGTTCTTGTTTTTACATTGAATAATATATACCTGCGTTTACAGATATGTGTAGCCAATGCAATGGAAGTAGTTGTGTCACAACTGGTGGAAGTGTCACGTGTGGAACTAACCAGAATTTCTGCATGACATCTATAATTGATTACAATGATAATAATTCTGGAAAATTGGAGAGACTTATCGAGAGAAAGTATGAATTGACGCTGTCTTAAACAATTTTCATCATAAAATATAATAAATGAAAAAATATTCGACTAAAATTAACAATTTCCAAATTTTGAAAAAATAAAACAAAACCACATTTTACATGTTTTTGTAACAAAGTATCATATTTTATATTTCATTTTCAGTGTTCCATACATGCTTACTTCATTAAATTGACATGAGTATTTGGATATTAGTCCAGATATTTACGTCTCTTGGATGGTCTATTTTATGTAGAAGTGATTCCATTTTACGGTCGTGCTATTCTCTTAGATTTACTTATTGAATTAATCAATTATACAGACGAATGAGAATGTCTATAAGTTTTATGCATACATATGAGAGGGACTGGATGGGCTTCTTTAACTCTGTATTCTTTAAATTTATAGGACTTTTTTATCTTTAAAAATAACGCTTATTCTGTAAAATTCCAATGAAAATAATTTTACTCTTAATTTTTGTTGTTGATTAATTGATTAATTAATTGATTTCATTATTCTGTTTATCTTTTATTTCTGTAATCGGTATTTTATTACCTAATTCTTTTATTTCCCGCAGTTATTCTTTATACCTTTGCACCCCATTATTCTCTATTCTTTATTTTTTTGCTCTTGTTTCTGTATTTATTATATTACTTAGCCATTATTCTCTATTCTGTAAACCCCACTTAGATTCAAATTTCATATACATTCTAATGATTCATATAAACATCGCTTCCTCTGTTTTTCACAATGACGCTTCTTTTAACAGGTGCGCATCAAAGCAGGAATGTGCGGATAAAGATCAGTCCGGTAATATGTTTTGTCTTCAGTTACCTCAGGGAAATCTTGGTTTTCCATACACATGCAGATTCTGTTGTGTAGGACAAAACTGTAACAATCCTCCAGCTCTTATACCGGCATTATCAACTCGATTTTCCTCCAATTTTCCATAGAAAAAATATTAAAAGAAATCTCAATCCACTAGCGTTGGCTATTTTATTCCAGCTGATATGATATTTTAACCAACATAACTCAATTTCAGAAAGCTACTATCAGGTTGATTGTTCAACCAGGTTTGTTTTGCCTCTTTACGAGCTCTTAATGAAACATATTAAGAATTTTTGGATCAGTTCAGGTAAATCATTTCGAAAGAAGCCATACATGACTTTTTGTGATGTAGTCTTGTAACTGTTGACGTAGAGATTACTATCGTGATAAGATAATGTAAAAATTATTTTTTGAGATTCGACTCTGGTGAAAATAACTTAAGGCTGCAGTTTTTAAAAGAGTTCTTTGGCTGCACTACATATTGTCTACACATTCCGTAATTGTGATCCCAATTCAATGCTTTGACTTTCGGCTTCTTTTACTTATCCATTTTTATAAAAAATCAATTATGATATTAAGGAACGCAAAAAATTACAAAAGAACTCTCCACTCTTCGATCACTTATCGACGTGCTTAAATACCGCATTCCTAACATAAATTTATCTGCCGCTAATCGAAAATCACCTTCAAAAATTTGCACTTTTTTGAAATTGTGTTAAAAGAGGCAATATGCCTCTGCAGCTAGATTATTCAACAAAAATGCACGTGGATATCCACAAGTATTTCCGTGCAATGCCAGAAAATGTCAAACCTGCTTTGGATTATCTTCGAATGGCATACGATACGGTTACAGTTCCGGAGCACCTAAGATCACCCCAGTTTTTGGTGGTGTTCGTGTTTCTCAGTCTTTAGTTTTCTATATGTAGTGTTTTGTGTACTGTTGTTTGTCTATTTGTCTTTGTCTTTTTTTTTTTGCCATGGCGTTATCAGTTTGTTTCCACTTATGGATGTCCCTTTGGTATCTTTCGTAGGAGAGGTAATGACGTTAAATGAACTAAAATTAAAAAACATACAAGACTAACAAAGGCCAGAGGCTCCTGACTTGGGACAGGCGCAAAAGTGCGGCAGGGTTAAACATATTTTGTGAGATCTCAACCCTCCCCCTATACCTCTAGCCAATGTAGAATAAAGAAACACATAGCAATACGCACAGTAAAACTCAGTTTAAAAGAAGTCGGAGTCCGATGTCAGAATAGGTAACAAAAGAAACTAAGCAAAATGACAATGATACATAGATTAACAAAGGCCTACTAGCAGTTACTGACATGCTAGCTCCAGATTAAACTGATTGAATGATTATGTCTTCATCATATGAAAATCAAGTACAATCCCTCCCGTTAGGGGTTTAGTATCATACCATCATAAAATATATGAGAAGAACGTAACCCTTATCATGCCAACAACTGGTTTTAGAATAAATGTGTTTATTTCCGATGCAAAGACTCTATGAGTGAATCAATATTAATACCAAAATATGCAATCCTTAATGACCTGACAACAGTATCGTAACTTTATCCTTTCCGAATAAGTCTGTTTAAAGGTTTGGTTAGCCTTTGAGGTGAACGCCGACATTTTTGTGCTTTGTAAAGAATATAACGGGTTACCATAAAATATTGGATGTGAAATACCTGAACGTATAAGATGTCTGCATGTTGATTTATATTTACGAATGATTTACTTGTACCGATGATAAAATTTAGTAAATGTTTTGACTTGTTTGTAATATCGAAAACCCTGGTGCAATAATTTTTCAGAAATACAGAGATTTCTTTCGTTGAAATCAAATACGTTGTTACATACACGAGCGAATCGAACAAGCTGAGATATGTAAACACCATAAGATGGTGACAAGGAAACGTCACCATCTAAATATGGATAATTAACATCATCTCTTTTATCATAAATTTTGGTATTAAGCTTCCCGTTTAAGATATAGATATCAAGATCCAGGAAAGGGCCGTGTTCATTGTTAGTATTATCTTTATTTAAAGTCAATTCGGCAGTACATGGATCCCTCTTACTTTAAACGACACTTGGCTTGATTATGTATGAAGATTATTTGATCCAATTTTTATGAAGAAATCACCGATGAATTTTTAAATAGGATAAATATACAGCAAAAATGCCGGTTTTTTCAGTCTAAATTCATGAGAATTTGATACAAATGAATTATATCCAAGTGTTACACAAATTTAGAGCATACTTTTGTAACGAAGATATTCAAATCTTTTTACGAAAATCCGCATGTGTTTTGAAACAAATCTGTCTGTCCAAAGGATAGAAATGTCTAAATGTCACATGAAGATATATTTTTATTATGGTGCGAACGTACCAGTTTTGTAAAACTGGTTTAACCCAAACACATTGTCTGTCATACTAAGGCAAGGCTATCTGGAAAATATGTTATTTGTTATTATTTCTCTAGTTGTACGTTTATTTTTTCAGAGGAGGTTGGTGTTGGTGGTTAGTATTGTCTGAACTATTGTTCAATATTTTTGATAATTCCTGTTTTTCTTATATATATATTGTAGTCATTTAAACAAAATCCTCTTCAAAGTTTCTTAATGTTTACTGTGCCGAAAACAATGAAAAACTCTGCCGGAAGACATCTGTATTGCAAATAAAGGCAGGACATCGTATACTGCAAATACAGGCCAGAAGACATCTTTATTGCAAATAAAGGCAGGACATCTGTATACTGCAAATACAGGCCGGAAGACATCTGTATTGCAAATAAAGGCAGGACATTAACCATTTTCTTTGTCACAGTGACATGTGGCATCAAATTAAAGATGATATACAGAACATGTTACAGAAAATAGTTGAAGTCAAACTGACCACGCTTACGGCCAGTGTGCATGGAAACGATAAGCAAGAAAAAAAATTTGCCTAATGATTTTCAACTTCAAATTATCATTTGGAACGGTTTAAAATTAAGGGGCATCATGATCAGTGGCCGAGTGGTGTGCGCGGTTTATCTGCAGAGATAACTAAGACTGAGGTTGCAGTGCCGGAGTGCGAACCCCACTCGCCGAAGGTGCTCCCGAATCTTACATCCTAATTGATCGTAGGATTGCCAGTTCCTGTGGAAAGTCGGTGATTCTCTCAGACTTCCTCAACCAATTACAACTGACTGCCATGATATATTCAAGGGTGTTAAAAGAGGTGGAATCCGGGTCCGTTCGCCCAAAATCACGTTCGCTCCCATTCACGATCGCTCACTTGATTGGTTTTGTGCTGAATACATTTTTAATCGTGTTTAAGTTAGTGTATTGCTATAAGTAAGTTTTTTTTATTGATTCCTCAAAATAAAGTGACATTCCAACAGGTTTCCTTTAGTGATTGACGAAATGAATCGTGAATAAAAGACAATATCTTTGTCATGAAGATTAAGGCACAGTTTATTCATCTAAGAATTGTATTAAAAAGACAGGCAGAAGATACCAAATCTTCATTGAGTTTACTCATACCAAGCTAACTACATGCAGTACTTACATCAATATAAAAATAAGAAGATGTGGTATGATTGCAAATGAGACAACTCTCCACAAGAGACCAAATGACACAGAAATTAACAACTATAGGTCACCGTACGGCCTTCAACAATGAGCAAAAGCCCCGAAATGACAAATGTAAAACATTCAAACGAGAAAACTAACGGCCTAATTTATGTAAAAAATAATGAACGAAAAACAAATATGATATACAGCAACATACGACAACCATTGAATTACAGGCTCCTGACCTAGGACAGGCACATACAGAATGTGGCGGGGTTAAACAAGTTTGAAGGTGCAAACCCTTCAAATGAATCCAACAAAAACACAGAGTGGGCGTGGTAGGGTACTTATAGGTATTCGTCGTAGGTATCCCCACAACAAAAAGACACTAAGCACAGATCTGAGAGTACTCTTTGTTACTGAAAGCTAGTTCAAAGCCAATAACACCTTATAAAAAAAATCATACATCCAGGACTAAAATATCAATTAGTACACATCCAACATCCAATGGATTTAGTGTAAAGACGTCATTAACAGTCAGAGAAAAACATGACCTTGTGCAATGCCAAGATACAGGTATCTACAGACTGTAGAACCATGAATGTGCAGATGTATATAAAAATAATATTAAGTTTGATTTTAATTTACTGATATAAACAAGAACTAGCCAAGGAATTTGTTTTTGTCCCGGCCGATAAAGCTGCTAATAATATTATTATTGTTTGACGTAAATTTTACATTGAGGTTCTGAAAAAAGAAATCACCAATTCACCAACATTCCAACTGACTCCATTTTCAGAAAACGACATTTGTAACAAACATAAACTTTTAGCTACCGCTTTACAAGCAGAACCAAATACAATGAAAGTCCCTACTATGTATTGGCTTCCGAAGCTACACAAAACACCTTACAAATATAGATTCATTTCGTCTTCAAGCAATTGTTCCACTACTAAATTGTCTATTCTTCTTACCAGTACACTTGGTACAATCAAAAACCTGATAATAAATTGTTCAAATAAGGCCTTCGAAAATAGTGGAATTAATTACTTTTGAAGTGTCAAGAACTCGTTGGAAGTACTTGATAAATTACATGCATATATTGGTGATTTTGAATCTGTTCAAAGTTTTGATTTTTCTACCCTATATACCACATTGCCTCACATTCTCATTAAGAAAAAATTCACACAATTATTAAATGGGCATTTAAAAAGTCAGAATGTGAATATATCTGTTCAAACTCTTTTAGGTCATTTTTTAGTAGCAATAAACAAAAAAACTATGTCAATTGGACATGCTTTGATACTATATATGCCCTTGAATTTTTACTAGATAACATTTTTGTTCGCTTTGGAGATTCCGTATATCGTCAAGTTATCGGAATTCCAATGGGGACTAACTGTGCACCACTTATTGCGGATCTTTTTTGTATTGCTATGAGTTACAATTTATGACAAAAATCAGCAAAGACCCATCGAAACAACATCTGATACACAAATTTAATAATACTTTTAGATATTTGGATGATATTTTGGCTCTCAATAATGACGACTTCAGTATGTATACTAAAGAAATTTATCCTGTTGAACTTACTTTAAATAAAGCTAATACTAACAATGACCACTGCCCTTTCCTCGATCTTGATATCTATATCATTAATGGAAAGCTTAATACTAAAATATACGATAAAAGAGATGATTTTTCATTTCCTATCGTTAATTATCCATTTTTAGATGGTGACGTTCCCTTGTCACCATCTTACGGTGTTTATATATCTCAACTTGTACGATTCGCTCGTGTATGTAACAATGTTTTAGATTTTAACGAGAGAAATTTATGTATTACTGAAAAATTATTACACCAGGGTTTTCGATATCACAAACTAGTCAAAACATTTACTAAACTTTATCATCGGTATAAGGACATCATTCGTAAATATAGCTCAACATGCAGACTTCTTATACGTTCAGGTATTTCACATCCAATTTTTTATGGAAATATTCTTTATAAAGCACAAAAATGTCAGTATTCACCTCTGAAGCTAACAAAACCTTTAAATAGACTTATTAAGAAGGGATATAGTTATAATACTGTTGTCAGGTCATTAAAGATTGCATATTTTGGCGTAAATATTGATTCACTTATAGGGTCTTTGCATCGGCACTAAACACATTTATTTAAAAACCAGTTGTTGGCATGACACGGGTTATGTTCTTCTCATATATGTTATGATGGTATGATACTAAACCCCTAACGGGAAGGATTGTGCCTGATATTCATATGATGAAGACATAATCTTTCAATCAGTTTAATTGAAGTCTGGAGCTGGCATGTCAGTTAACTGCTAGTAGTCTGTTGTTATTTATGTATTATTGTCATTTTGTTTATTTTCTTTGGTTACATTTTCTGACATCAGACTCGGACTTCTCTTGAACTGAATTTTAATGTGCGTATTGTTATGCGTTCACTTTTCTACATTGGCTAGAGGTATAGGGGGAGGGTTGAGATCTCATAAACATGTTTAACCCCGCCGCATTTTTGCGCCTGTCCCAAGTCAGGAGCCTCTAGCCTTTGTTAGTCTTGTATTATTTTTAATTTTAGTTTCTTGTGTACAATTTGGAGTTTAGTATGGCGTTCATTATCACTGAACTAGTATATATATCTGTTTAGGGGCCAGCTGAAGGACGCCTCCGGGTGCGGGAATTTCTCGCTGCATTGAAGACCTGTTGGTGACCTTCTGCTGTTGTCTGTTCTATGGTCGGGTTGTTGTCTCTTTGACACATTCCCCATTTCCATTCTCAGTTTTAAGGTCAATATCAATACCAATAAAAACAATATTCAAAGTTCTAATTACAGTGTTGAATTGGTAACCTTTTAGAATAAGTTTATTTAAAGGATCGATCAGTTTACACGGATCTTTTCTAAATTTCCGGGCTTGGTAAACAACATCTCCGTAAGAATTAGGATGTGCTATCCCGTTTGAAATAAGTTTTCTACAGGTACAACCAAACTTCAAAACCAAATTTTTATATCTATATACATGGAAGAATTTAGTAAAGGTTTTAAGTAATTTGTGGTAACGAAATCCCTGACTTAATAATTTACCAGTAATACATTTATTACGTTCATTGAAATCAAAAACGTCACAACAGACACGGGCATAGCGAACGAATTGTAATATATAAACACCGTAAGATGGTGCCAAAGAAACATTACCGTCCAAATAAGGAAAATTAACAATAGGGAACAAAAAATCGTCCTTTTTGTCGTAAATTTTAGTGTGGAGTTTCCCGTGTAAAACTGAAATATCTAAATCTAGGAAAGGACAGTTATTACTGTTTATATTTGATTTATTTAAAGTAATTATAAGTTGCTTTGGGTAAATTACGGTAGTATATTTAGAAAATTCTTGATTATTTAACGAAAAATCTTATCAAGATAACTGTAAGTGTTGTTGAATTTATCAATTAAATGCAATTTAGACGGGTCTTTACTGAGTTTGGTCATAAACTGTGATTCATAACAGTACAAAAACAAGTCTGCTATTAAAGGGGCGCAATTAATGCCCATAGCCGGAATACCTACAACCTGTCGATAATTTACCTGTATTGCCGAAACGTACATAGATATTATCAAGGAGAGAATTAACAGCTTCAATCATCAATCACACCCCCAGTTAGTATATCTAGCATATTTACCTTTCTCATTAGAGAAGGTGGCTTTAAATGAGTTGCAGCAAATACATTTGCATTTAGATTTACCAAACGACCATTTAATTAAATAGGAAAACTTTTGTTTGATAAGATTGTGTGGAAGTGTAGTGTAAAGAGTTGAAAAGTCAAAACTGTCATCAGAATCAAAAGGACCACCAAAAACACGTAATTTATCTAAAAGCTAGTTATAACAACAATCATGATTTTCAAACACAGAACAATAATACAAAATTTGGCTTTGTCAATACTAATTAACAGTATAATTTTAAATTACATTTAATAATTAATCATCAAATCACCAAAAAAAATATTTCACTAAGTTAAAAATTCCCGAATTCTTATTAATGCAAATTTAAATATTTTGATAATTACATCTTTAAAACATCTAATAATGCAACCAGTATCTGAATAAAATAGGGTGCGAACGAACCCAGGGCACGAACGTGTGGGGTGCGAACGTGTATCTTTCAAAACGAGTCATATATTTTAGACGTTACCAGGCATGGGGCGAATTACATTGCAATGTAATGCATTATATTACAATTACTTTGACCAAACCATGCATTATATTACAATTACAATTACATGCATTTATCAAAGTAATGCATTATATTACAATTACTTTTGCAAAGTAATGCCTTGAATTACACATTACATTTGAAAATTTTATTAAGTGAATAGAAAAATTAAACATCTTGAAAAAAAGTAGAAGTCACAAAAGATTCTAGCATATGCAGCAACTGTTCCATGAATTGAATATAAGTATACATTTAAAATTTCTATTTAATTCGGCTTTTACAATTTTAATTTAATGTTGACTTTACTTTTATAAATAAACTCTTTGTTGTTTTTTTTTTTATTTTAAACGAAATATTTAATTACTGTGAATTACTTCCCTAATTATCAAATAAACATAGACCTTAATTAATGAACAATTGTCTAAATGGTGAAAATATTGATTGTAAAACAAACTAATTAGTGTTTTATAACAAAGTTTAATTATATCTTATTTAAGCAAGACAAGATATTCTTTGATCTTATGACAACAATACAGTTATGCTTTTCAAATATCAATCTTTTTTTTTTATGCAGGAAAATGTATGAAATAAGATGAAATAAAGAATATATTCTCATGATTAACATATTCTTAGTTAATCAAGAAATCTTAAATTTGGTTTAGTTAAAACTCCAACAATATGTTAAAGATGTGGTATGTGAAAAAAGTAATGACATGTAATGCCATGTAATGCATGAAATTACACAACTTTTTGCCAAAGTAATGCATTATATTACAATTACATGTAATGCACAAATTGCTGCATTACACATTACATACAATTACTTGGAAAAATGTAATGCATTACCATGCATTACAATTACAAATTTGCATTACCCCATGCCTGGACGAAACCACAATATTCTACTGACTGGTGCGCAACTCAGGCTTGTTTTTTTTAGTGATAAGTTGATAATATATAAAAACATAAGAATTAAGATGTTTTTTTCCCGTAAATTACTGCGGAATAACATATTAAACTTGCAGACACTGTTCAATTGTGTGCATTGAAGTTTCGATCGAGAGGGGTCGTGTCCACTATACTGTAAATATATTTTGAGCTATTTTATGGCTTTTCTGAAGCTAATACAATTTGATAGGCGAAACTGATGTGTAGTTGTTAAGTTTGTATAGCTCACAGCCTTACGCTGTTGGTACAAGTACACCATCGGTGGTGTACCTGATATGGACGGAATGTTATAGGTAACAAAAAACTGGTTGCATTCCCCTGTCCATTAGCTTCCCTATATCGAAAAATGACTTCGACAGGTTGTCAAAAGAAAATACAAGTTTCTGTCTTTAATGATGTAACACAAAATCAGTTTGTCAGCGAAATTTATCCTAAGGTAATGGTATCTCTGAGCAATTCACTTTTTCAGGAGGATAATCATCTTCGCTAGCCAAGCGTTACGATCCTGTCTCTTAAATTTAATTTCCTCTCTTGGCTAGCAAAGATCGATGCTAGTGGGAGGCTAGCGGATCTACTGTATTTGGCGATCGCAAGCATGACTGGTATACCAAGTACAGGAGATCACGACTAGCTGGTCACTCAGCTTCTATTAATGGAGATGTAATATATCCAAAAAATGATCTTCTGATATTGAAATAAAAGAGCAACAATAAGCAGTGATTTTGCTAACGCTCGTCATTTTCTTCATTTACGAAACGGTTTTCAAAATGACGAAAGTATTTGAAATCAATTTCGTCACTTAAATTTGGACAGTGTAAAAATATTTTCGCATGAAAATACTATAATTCTACCTGTCTACTTGTTTCTGACAAGTTTATGACCCTCAGCTAATTAACGTTTACCACAGGTGTTAAAATTTGTGATTACAGGTCATCCGCTAATCGCCATCAGATGGGTCACTAATCTGTTAATTGACCATCATAATTGTTTTTCCCAGTAAAATTGATCAGTCGGCATTTCATTTTCAATATTTTTTAAACGACCACAATTTGGAGTTTGTTTATCATAATTTCTTCATTTGAACAATATTGCTTATCCCCGTTCAGTTCTCATTTAAATTTCAATATTGCTCAAACAATCACAATTTGCAGTTTATTTGTCGTAGTTTCGTCATATGAAGGTATTTTCGTCATATTTGATATAACTTTTCATCAAAAACTTTTGGCAATTTCTATTAAAAAGATAGACCTTTATTTAAAACATTCAGAAATATTTTCACGAGTCAAACGGGTGTTTTCTTTTCTATGTACTGCGCATGCGTGAAAGTATTCATATAAATTTATAGATACTAAAACGTAAAATACAAAATCAATTAGTATCAAATTAAAAGAGAGAGACAAATATATTTCTTACTACCGGTAAGCAACTTTATTTAAAAAATGATAATTTCCTGCCTTTTGTTAAACATGAGAACCAATCTGTAGACTTATCCACTTGTCACTTCCAGTTTTCATTTCGTTTAAAAATAGAAAGTAAACGTGATCTATTCTTGATTATTTTACAATTTACAGTCAGTAGAATCGTTCCAATAAGAATTGATACATATCCTTGTTTCCAACTTTAAAGAAAAGAATTTCAAATATCAATTTCAACGTTTTTACGAGGATAATGATTATGCAGTGAAATAGTCGTTACAATTCATTTATGCTGTGATTCCTGTTTTAAAAAAGAGGAACCCAACTTTTGTTGATCAGGAATGTCCCCTGAAAATAACTGAAGTGAAATTGTGAATTTGATTTCCTGATCCTTGTTCTTATCTTCATATTTAAGCATCACATCAGTCAAATTATGCAATAACTGGCTGTATTTGTAGCATGCCTAAGGCCTTCAAAGATCCTAGTCCTTGAAGGTCTTAGGCATATGTATATCTAGTAATATACGTCCCTGGTCCATTGCAGTAACCTAAAATAAACTTGATTTTCATCTTGCGCAAAAGTGACTTTACCCTCAAAATCCTAGCTGAAACCCTGAATAAGTACATCCACGAACATGACAGAGTGATGGTGAATTACAGTCAAATACATTTGAAAAAGCAAACATTCTTATTATTAATAAACAACTTCAGTCTGCTTTTACATCTGAAGCAAACACTGAACTCTTATATTTGGTAAAAAGTTCATCAGAGCTTATGTTTTTACACATGTATGTTTTATGCTATGCTGAATCAAAACAAAGTTTTCTTTGTCTACGTCTATAAACTTTCAGATAACATTTATCTTATAATCAAACCCATCACAATCATGACAATCTTCTGGGACAAATTAAATATAAACTTATGAACATGATTAACCCTGGCACATTCTGTATGTGCGTTGCTCCAAGTCAGGAGCCTGTAATGCAGTGGTTGTCATTTGTTGCTGTATATCATATTTGTTTTGAACATGAATCAGGCCATAAGTTTTCTCTTTTGAATTGATTTACATTTTGTCATGCCAGGGCTTTTAACATGTTTAATAGCTAGCTACATGTATATATATATATGTGTATTGCTTTTGATAATTGTTTAAGGCTGTTAGGTAACTTACAGTTGGAAAGCAAGTCCTTAGAAACGTCCGTTGTCGTCAAGCTCTATCAGCAACAATAGCAGGGGGAATTAATTAGGTGGCGCTACAGTCGTCGGTGACGTAAAAAAGTCCGCCAAATCAATCAGCTAAAAAATCGATGTTTAAACTATTTTTTTCAACTTGTCATGCTTTTATCATAATTGAATTTTAAAGTTTGTAGATTTTGTGAGCAATATAGTTTCAATACGACATAGAAACATTGTCCAAAATAACTTTTATTTGCTATTTCTTTATCCTGTCCGTTCTAAAAACTATCAGCCATCTTTTTTGTTCGCCAAAAACATTGAATTTAAATAACTTGACGTTTGCGTATCCAAATACGGAAAAGAACGATAAAAATCTTAAATGAAACCGGGTAACCTATTTCAAATTTCTACACAATTATGAAGCCATCATTTTTTATTGTAATACATCAATTTTAGTGACCACCAGTCATGTCAATTTGTAGCTAGTTTTTGCTGCGTTTCTTGTTTAAAACAGTGAATGTTCAACTTCTTTTCATTGTACCTGTTTCCAAAGTACTCTAAAATACTGATTTTATTAGAGATATGAATGAAATTGTGATTAAAAAGTGTTGTTTTTCACAATTCCATACGATACTTCCATTTCAAAGTAACTAAAACCCTTCTTGATCCCCTACACAAATTGACGGTGACACTGTTTTCTTTTTTCAACACACCTCATATAACGTTAACAAAATATGTGTCAGGTCATGTGCATAGTGAAAATTTACACATTGGAAAAGTGAAACAAAGATCATTTTTATTGCGTTTGAAACTGTAAGTCTTAGAAAATTTCATTCATACTGGATACAAATCTGACAAATTAATGATGGCCTATGGATGGACAAAAGCACAAAAAATAGCAATGGAAAATGCCTTGTAAAGAAAATTTCTGGAGGAAAAAACTTATGAAAAAGGAAATGAAGGTCAGTTAATTATATCTATAAGTTAAAAACCTTGCTAATATGATTATTTCTTTACTAAATAAGCTACAGTAATAAGTGCAAAAACTAGCTTATCAAGTCAAAGAAGAAAAATTCATAGAGATGTTTTCTTACAAAATTGAATTTATTCAAATGGCAAATTCTTGATAAATTTAACAATCCATTAATCATTAAGTAAAAGGCACAAGATTTGTCCCACCAAATTTCATTTGTGATATAAATATCCAATCATTAAGGTAAAATATACAATACTTTGTTTATAAATATGTATATCAGCTGATACAGCAACCTGAAGAATAGAAGCCCGATTTTGTTTTTTTAAAAAAAAAGTTTACTTTCATAATCTATACTATGAAATACCCTTAGAAATTTGGCAAGGGCTACTAGCTGTGCTAGCTAATCTAATAATTGAATTTTACAGTAATAATGATTTTAAAGTTCAAAATTATGTCACTTATAATTTTAAGTATCATTTTTTACAGAATTTCTGTCAATATTTTTGGTATACTTATCCTTTTTTTGTAGGATATTATCTAGGCAGTACTGTATTGTTCAACTAAGAAACATAGGCTTGAGTTAAAAGGCTTTTTTACTTTGAAGAAACTTATTGTGACTCTTGGTCCCACTTTTTAGAATATAAAATATATATGATCAGTACTTAGTATTTAGTATTTTTATTTCAGAAAGATTATTTAAATTGTATAAAATATGTTTTATTGCATTACACATTGTTAGAAGTATTTTAAAAAAAATTCTACTTGGAGTGATTCAATATCCCATTATAAAAATTACAAAGTAAATTTCATCAGCCAGAGCTAATTTATATCAATTCAGCTAGGTTTCTAGGTGACATTTCTTAATTTTTTCCAATTTTTTGTCTTTTAATTTTTACCTCTAATCCTTCTCTGAAAAATAGAGAAGTATCTCTTCTTAATATTATAATAGCATAGTTGTAAATCGAATTTCATTTATTTTCTTCTTGATTTTTGTAAAGTAAACTCATTTTTATTCATTTTGCTGGGTTTTTATTTTTGACTGGTGATATCAAGGGGAGATAACCACACACAAATCGGCAAAAAAACCACCGCTTTGTGTTGAAAATAACTTGACATTTGCATATCCAAAACTGTATTGCCTAGATATTCATATCGAGTGTTTGTCTTAATGAGATGCTTTATCAAATTTAAATTCAGCCCATCATTTTTAGTTTCCTCGAAAATATTTAGATTTTTTGATCAGGAGACCAGACAATTTTCACACAAACTTCAAGTTTGAAGATAAAAAAAAGAATGAAGGACTTTGAGTCGATGTGTAAGTTTTGACGCGTTAAAACTATGTATATTCAAGATTATTTTGATCAATAAGTTTTTATCATGACAGTGGTATTTTAGTGAGTAAAAATGAGGTTTGTCTCATCCGTAGTTTTACTGAATTTTCACGGTCACGTGACTCTATTGTTGCTGATAGACTTTGGGTCAAACCATGACCTGCTTTCCAACTGTATGGTTGTTAACATCTACACCATTTAGTATCTGATGGATAATTGACAATCATACCACATCTTATTTTGTAATAGTAGAAATATAAACCCTAATTCAAAGCCACTGGTCCTGATACTATGGCAGGCAGAGTAATAAAACAAAATATACATATACATATATGTGCAGACACCAAATTTTTGAAACAGACAAGGTACCATCTGACTGGAATCCCAAACCTGCACAGGTTGCAAACTACTCAAACATATCCTGACCAACAACATTTAGAAAAGAAAAAAGCATGTATGAACATTATGAATTACAGCATGGATTTAACATATTTAGGGCAAAAAGATCATGTGAGTCCCAAATAATATTTGTACTACATGAACTCACACAAAGTAATAACTAGATCAAACAAACAGACCTTCAATGACCTCATAATTATGGATTTTGCTTAAGCTTTTGACAAGGTACCACACAAAAGGCTTTAGACTCTAGAAAATGAAATACAGCATCATCTTAAATATATTGGCATATACATAGATATAAGAAGATGTGGTATGAGTGCCAATGAGACAACTCTCCATCCAAGTCAAAATTTATAAAAGTAAACCATTATAGGCATGTATGTATAAATCGTCATGTTATTAGGACAAATTTCTTGTTTTCTGGCACATTCTGATGCATCAATAATACATGCACATTTCTAGACCATGTGGATGCAGTAGAATGTGTCCCCGTGCTTGTGGTGTATGCCCTTATATTTTTCAATTATGGGTTTATAGATTAGACCGTTGGTTTTCCCGTTTGAATGGTTTTACACTAGTAATTTTTGGGGCCCTTTATAGCTTACTGTTCGGTGTGAGCCAAGGCTCTGTGTTGAAGACCGTACTGTGACCTATAATGGTTTACTTTTATAAATTTTGACTTGGATGGAGAGTTGTCTCATTGGCACTCATACCACCTCTTCTTATATCTCTTTAACTGAGAGCAAAGGAAATTCTAATTGTGATGCTTGTTTCCGAATTAATCATCACACTACATCTATTTATTTTTTTTTGTTACAAAATAATTGAAAAGTAATGGAAGTTTAATTATGATAACAATTCTTTAAGCTGTAATTGATTAAATTTATAACAGGTTAACAATATTCAACTCTGTTGTAAAGAGAAATATAAATGTGATATCTAATTATATGCATTGTATATAATTTGCAGAGACTGCCAGTAATTATAAGGGGACAAGACATTGGACCATGCATTAATTGTTGGAAGTCCACAGAATATCTAGGGAAAAAGGGAGGAATCAAAGAGGTCAAAATACATGTATCACCAACTCCACAGATGGATTTCATCAATAAAAACTTTTTGTACAGGTAGATTTAGGAGATAGTTGTATTGAATATTAAGTTGAAACAAGTTTTATGTAGTCCAAGCTTAAAATAAAATACAGTTATCTCCATGATAATGCAAAATTAACAGATATTCAACATGTTCAATTTAAGACATAATTTTAGTGTAGGAAAATCCTGCAAAACATTCTTCTTGTCTTTAGAATTTTACCAATAAGACATCATCAATATGATTCCAGCATGAAATGTAGACATAAGATAATTGTGGGCTTTATATCACTTCAAAAAAAAAAAAAAAAAAGATGATTTCCGATGAGTGTACCATGAGACATCTGCTTATTAGTCCCCTACCAAAGAAGTCAAAGGAGACTTTAGGTTTGCACTCCGTCTGTCTGTCTGTCTGTCATTTCGGCAAATCAGTTTTCCACATGTTTTTTCTTCGTCCTTGAAGATATTGATTTGATATTTGGTGTATTGTTTTATCATGACAAGTTACAGATCAAGTTCGAATTTTGTTCATTGTCTGATGATTTTGTGCAGAGTTATGGTTCTTGTACTTAGAAAATTCACTGAAATAATCAGTTTTTCGCACTTTTTTCGTCATGCTTAAAGATATTGATTTGATAATTGGTATATAGTTTTATCATGACAAGTTACATATCAAGTTCAAATTTTGTTCCGGTCTGATGATTTTGTGCAGAGTTATGGTCCTTGGACCAGGGCTTCCAAAATTATTTTTAGCCAGCCGGACATTTTATATATTATCCCGATTTTAATCCCTTAAGACTAAAAAACAAAAGGCAATTATGGTATTCAGTTGCCGAGTTGGCCATCCCAATGATTGACATTAAAAAAAAAACGATATTAATCTTTCTTTGATTCAAATTCGAAGTTCTGCCGTAAACTGTTAAATTGGCAGTGCATCATTCGAAGTGTGCAACATCAGCGTACTTATGTCTGCCTTAAACTCTTTATTTGTGCAAAATAGCGTTGTCAAAAATTTTACTTTCGTTTTAAAATCTAAACCGGATGTTATCTTGACAATGGTAAAACATGTACCAGAGACGGATACGTAAATTCCGTGTGCGTTTGCAAAGCATGAATGAGTGTACGTAGCTCGTTCTACGTTATTTCGTCAAGAAAATATTCGAAATAAACGTGAGATAAAGGTATCAATGACAATTTAAACATTTTTTGAAGAAATTAGGATGCATAATTAAATTTCACACCTGCGCAAATGCGCACACGTGTACTAGTTCAAACAGAGACATGTCTCTGGTTCAAACAACGTGGTTATGACGATTTTTCATTTTCACCTTTTTAATGTTTTCATCAAATCATATTTATAAACGTATTTCTGATAATTTAAATCTTTTTGACTAAATTAATTAGATGCAAACCGTTGAAATGTAAGAAAATAACTGTGAATAGACCGATCAATGTCCGGTTCAAAATAGTTTACCTGTCACCTGAACAGGTAAATTTCAGCTGTTCGACAACTAATTAGCCTTGATTAAAATGAGAAGGTATTAAAGTAGGGGTTGTTTTGATAGTACTTAATGATCATGTCACTTTTATGACCGGAAATGTGTGGCTGTTAAAGGCAAAAGGTTGGGTCAAAAAGATCGCGAATTATGTTAAAATGACCGTCTCTTAAGAAAGCCTTCAAAACTAAAAAGTAGATGACAGTTTCATGCTTTGCCCAGCCGGACTTTTACCGGACATTATACAAATGTCCGGAATATATGACCGTTTTGGAAGCCTTGCCTTGGACATAGAAAATTCTCTTAAATAATCAGTTTTCCTCACTTTTTTTCATCATGCTTGAAGATATTGACTTGATATTTGTTATATAGTTAACACCATGACGAGTTAGCATTTTGTGCCAGTACAATGAATTTTTAACTGGTAGGGGACTATGTATTGCTATGCAATACTCTCAGAATGCTTGTTTTGTTTATCATTGAAGAAATCACATACAAATAAATTAGGGAATTCAAAATAGTGACTTCTCTAATTAGTTACACACTGGTAAACCATGGAATTTACCCCCTCAAAATACATGTACTTAAAAGTTCATTGGAAGATACCAAGACCTTGTTGATAAATACTCCGTATCAACTTCACAAATAATACATGATGGTCTTGAAGTATAGATTCTAGGTACTAACGTTGTTTATCATCTTAATAACGTGTTAAAGTTTTCTTTTATTTGTCTTTGTAATTTATTAACCTTTACTGTTTAGTCCATTTTTGGTAATATCCGTTTGTCGTGGCTCAGTACTTCAATGTGTTGTTGTGCTGTTGTCATTTTTTGTATTTTTGTCTTTCATTTTTGCTTACCCGGTATATGCTATGTCTATATGCCATTTTGTTTTTCTTTGTTGACATATTTGTTTGTTTTTATAGTGATTAAGATTATAACACAATGTTGACTGCTATATTCCTATCTATTACATTTTTACATATTATGACTGTTTGTTTTGTTCACACATTGTTGTCAATATAATGGACTTTTATGCGACTGTCATACAAGTGAGAGGTTTAGCTAGCTATAAAACCAGGTTTAATCCACCATTTTCTACATAAGGAAATGTCTGTACCAGGTCAGGAATATGACAGTTGTTTTCCATTCATTTGATGTGTTTGAGCTTTTGATTTTGCCATTTTATTAGAGACTTTCCGATTAGAATTTTCCTTGGAGTTCGGTATTTTTGTTATTTTACTTTTTTTTTTGGAAGATTTAAAAATTTAACTTTTTTACCATTAAATCTGGAATAATGCAGTACAGTGTAATATGTTACCTAACAATTTTATTAAATGTATCAATAATTTCTTTTATATAAAAAAGATGAAAAATATCCTTTTATGGACACAGTCCCCTAAAGAAAAATCTAAGAATGTAGAGTCCTCTAAAGTAAAAGAAGGTCAAAAGTAATTCAAGGTCTTGTGAAACAGTTATTAGTCCCCTACTGACGAAGTCAAAGGGGACTTTAGGTTTGCACTCCGTCTGTCTGTCTGTCTGTCTGTGTCCATCCGTCAGTCCGGCAAATCAGTTTTCCACACTTTTTTTCTTCGTGCTTAAAGATATTTATTTGATATTTGGTATATTGTTTTATCATGACAAGTTACAGATCAAGTTCGAATTTTGTTCCAGTCTGATGATTTTGTGCAGAGTTATGGTTGTTTGACTTAGGAAATTCACTCAAATATGCAGTTTTCCACACTTTTTTTTCGTCAATCTTGAAGATATTGACTTGATAATTGGTATATAGTTTTATCATGACAAGTTACAGATCAAGTTCTCTAATTTTGTTCCGGTCTGATGATTTTGTGCAGAGTTATGGTCCTTGGACTTAGAAAAAATTCACTTTAATAATCAGTTTTCCACACTTTTTTTCAACATGCTTGAAGATATTGACTTGATATTTGTTATATAGTTTACACCATGACAAGTTATAGATCAAGTTAGCATTTTGTTCCAGTGCAATGAATTTTTAACCAGTAGGGGACTATGTATTGCCATGCAATACACTCAGAATGCTTGTTTATTATGTATTTCAGATCTTTGCCATTCAATGAATTAGTAAAGAGAGCAGGAGAAGATAAACATACAGAACATTTTATATCAGAAGTAAGGTATTTATGCATAAAAGGAGATGTGGGGGTTTACACCAATGACACATTGTAGCTAGAAATTGAAAAATGCATGGCGCCAATCGAGGACATGGCTTTTTTTTGGGGAGGGGGAGGAAAGGGCACTTTTTTTGTGCATTCTATAAGTATTTTTTCAACATATTTCAAGTAAGCTCATTAAGGAAGCTACAATTTGATTTTTATGGTTAGGGGGGCTAGGATGAAATTTAAAAAAAAGGCAGGACAGGAGTTTTGAGTAAAAAAAAAAAGGCAGGATGAGCAACTTGGCAAAAAAAAGGCAGGATGACAATTTATGTAAAAAAGTCAGGATAAACTAATAAAAAAAAAGGCAGGACCAAATAGTGATAAATAAAAAGGCAGGACAGAGATTACAACTAAAAAAAAATGCAGGACAAAATTTTTCATCCTAGCCCCCCATAAAAATCAAATGGTAGCTCCCTAATATGATAATAGTTTGAAAATTAATATTACAATTGACATCAGACCAATTTCCTTCGTTTGACATTTTTGTGTATTCTTCACAAACTCTTCTAAATGTTGGAAACTGTTTTGATAGTATGTTGATATTGCAACTCTTACAAACAATATGAGATAGGACACATGTAAATATTTTTTTCAGACAGAGAAATATTATTTAAGAGCTGTTGGAGACAATCCAAGAACAGATATAGCAGATATAAATAAACAATTTCCAGAATTAGCAGATGACATCAGTATTCCACCATTCTTCAGTCCAGATCGCTTTTTCTCAAGTGTTTTTAGAATATCATCAAATGGTATACAGTTGTGGACTCATTATGATGTAAATACTAATATAATTTGTATTTTACTTAAAATATATGTCAATATATATATATATGTAACACTCACAAATGTGTCCTTACTCTCACATGTGTTGAACTCAAAACTTATGTAACATATTTAACAGGTTCCAAAACATGTTTAGTTTTTGGAGATCCAAACACGCTTATTTTCTTTGAAAATTTTTGGGGAGCAAAAATCCACCTTCCTTGAATTGAATAATTTTACAAATTACCAAAAAATAAAGAAAATGCTGAACCAAAGCCACTAAATTTTGTGTTGGTAGAGTTACCTGATTTACAAAAATGTATATACCATAAGTGAGCAACCATTTAACTTCAAGGGGGGGGGTTGTTATGGATTTTTGTCTGAGTGAGAAATTTTTTTTCGCGCAAAATGCAAACATTTTTTTTAGTTTTTCAACGCTATCAATCAAATTATTTTTGTTTGAAAATTTAACACTATAAGGTATGGGGAAAATCTGGATTCAGAATATTTTTTTTTGTCATCTGTTTGACCACAATATTCTTTTTTCATCAAATTGGGGATCAGACGGCGTTTTGCATTTGGGTCGATTTGCATTTCATTTGCGCCGATTGTGTACAGGTAGATTACAGGTGAATGTTATTTCTTATTTCTTATTTATCATTATAAATCTCTTCTGTTGACAATTATAACATGTATATAGCTGTTGTCCCCTGCTCACCACGTGGAGGTGAAATAAGGATTTCAAGCAATAGAAGTCAATTTATGCGAATGAAACGATTCAGGACTGTTATTCGTCATCTTACAATTTTCAATTGGTGTAGCTGCCCAGAAATAAGGTGAATAACGTGAAGTTAAGCATATATAAATACTTTAATAATACGTAGTCTAAGAATGCATGACATCTGTCATCACAAGGAGCTTCAAACCTAATGTCAAACATGGAAGCAGTCCTCGATTTCATCTGGGGGAAGGAATGATAGCCCAAAAAATGAGATAGCCATTTACCAGTGTCCTTGATTTGTCTTTATACTCTGTTTAAAAATGGATACTTAAACCAACAGACTGGATTTTCCTCCACCAGTTTATGTGCCAGATGAAAACGACAACAATCTATTTGCAGGGGACAACAGTTATATACATGTTATAATTGACAATTTATAACATATGTACAACTGGCTAACGGAAGAGGTTTATATTGATAACTAAAAAATAACATTCACCTGTAATTTACCTGTGCTTAATCGGCGCCCCCCCCCCCCCTTCTTGAAGTTAAATGGTCGTTCCCTAACCAAATCAGAGATTTTTTTTAAAACATTTTATAATCCTTAAGAACTTCTTGGATATATCTAAGAAATAAGATTAAATGTTTTTTGTTGTGTGTATTTCTAGGAATATAGTAATTTTGATTTATCAGTTTAAGCATTGTATTTGGAATGATTTAAAAAGTGGATTCAGCCCATGTACACCAGTGTACACACATTTGTATTCATGTCTGCTAATGCTGATCAAAATTCCATGAAAATATTACAGAAGTATAATTACAACAAAAAGTAAATCATTTTTTTCTATATAGTAAGAAACCTTAAAAGAGTATAGAATTATGCCTTTATGCGTTGTATGGATGCCATATGGAGTGCATTTATATATTTTTGCAGACAATTGATAACGTAGAAATCTAAATGAACCAGTTCCCTTTTAGCTCACCTGTCCATTTGAAACAACTGGGCTAATTGGAAGTAAACTTGGTCACAATCATCCTTTGACAAAAAATATTTTGAATGCAGTCAAGTAAAAACAAACATGCTTTGGCCAATGACCCAAAAGTGGAAATATTTGGGTGATGACAATCATACATATTATGATAGGTACATATATTGTTGGTCATGTTTAGGTAAACTGAAGATGAGTGTATTTTGTTATATTTTACAGGTTATGGATAATATTTTAATTCAAGTCACAGGATCAAAAAGAGTTGTGCTGTTCAGTCCACAAGATGCTAATTATATGTACTTAAATGGTAAGCCGTATTATGTTGAACACAATATTTTTGGAAGAAATATTTTTTTGTCCTGTCCATCTGTGTGTCGAAATTATCGATGAAAAATATCCTGCATATTTGTTTGCTCGTTTTGTCACAGAATGTGAAACATAGAGATGCTTATCCTGCGTAAACTATTTGTATACATAAAAATAGTAAAAAGTAGTGGCCAAGGCTGAAGACATATAGTGCACCACCCGGTACGTTCTTTATATTCAGTGATTTTGCTAGCACTCGTCATTTACGAAACGGTTTTCAAAATGATGAAAGTATTACAAATCTATTTCGTCACTTAAATTTGGAAAATGTAAAAATATTTTCTTATGAAAATACTATAGTTCTACCTGTCTTCATGTTTCTGACAAGTTTATGACCCTCTGCTAATTAACATTTACAACAAGTGTTATAAGTTGTGATTACAGGTAATGCGCTTATCGCCATCAGATGGGCCACTAATCCGTTAATTATAAACCTCTTAATTGACCATCATGATAATTTTTCCCAGTAAAATTTGCAGTTTGTCGTAGTTTTGTCATTTGAACAAAATAGTTTTCCCCCGTGGCCGGCCTGTTTGCATTTTAATTTCAATATTTCTCAAACGATCACAATTTGCAGTTCTTTTGTCGTAGTTTTGTCATTTGAACGTATTTTCGTCATATCTGATATAACTTTTCATCAAAAACTTTTGACAATTTCGATTGAAAAAATAGAACTTTATTCAAAACGTTCAGAAATGTTTTCACGAGTCAAACAGGTGCTTCCTTTACTATGTACTGCACATGTGTGAAAGTATTCCTGTATATTTAAAGACACTAAATACGTAAAATATGAAATCATTTAGTATCAAATTCAACGAGAGAGACAAATAAATATCTCTTAGTAAGCAAATTTAATTTAAAAAATGATAATTTCCTGCCTTTTTTTAAACACAAACCTATCCGTAGTTGAATCTGGAATCATTCTGAATTTATTATCCATGTATCACTTCCCGTTTTCATTTCACTTGAAAATCGAAAGTAAACGAACATGATGATCTATAATTCATGATTGATTTACTACCTCTTTACAGTCATTAGAATCGTTCCAATAAGGATTTGTACAACTTTATAGAAATGAATTCCAAATATCCATTTAAACGGTTTTTAAGGATAATGATTATGCAGTGAAATAGTCGTTACAAGTTCATTTTGCTGTGTCCCTAGCCTGTGATTCCGGATTTAAAAAGAATGGAATTCATTTTTTGTTGGTCAGGAATGTCCACTGAAACAAACTGAAGTGAACATTGTGAACTAGATTTCCGGATCCTATATCATAATCTTCATATTTAAGTGCCACATCAGTCAAATCATGCAATAACTGCCTAGCATGCATAAGTCCTTCAAAGTCTGACAAAGATGTATAGCTAGTAATATACATCCTTGGTCCCTTGCTATTACCCAAAATAAGGTTGATTTTCATCTCACGCAAAAGTGACTAAAGCCCTCAAAATCCTAGCTTAAACCCTGTTAATATTGCAATGCCAATTTACCTAGATACTCTTGGTCCTTAAAACATTTATCTACTTTCCTTAGGTCTTCAAATACCCAGTACATTAATTGTGGTTCTTAGTATTCCAGATGAAGGTTAATCTAGTAAAGAGCTTTAATTGTGATACATTTTATATCCATGATTTTTATTTGTGTTTTTGTATTTGCAGGGGACAAGTCAGAAGTGTTAGATGTTGATAACCCTGACTTAGAGAAATATCCAAATTTTATCAATGCTACCAGATATGAAGGAGTTTTACAGGCTGGGGATATTTTATTTATTCCAGGTAGGAAAGTAGATTTAAATGAAATAAATCTGTCTTTACTTTTAACTGAATACTGCAGAAGAACTTATTAATCAATTTTGTAATAAAGCAAATGAGAATTAAAAACCAATTGTTCAGAGAACAATTGAAGGTCTTTCCACAGCAAATTTTAAATTTATTGGAAAGAAGCTAGTTCGTGTTTACTCAAAGTTAAAATTGGCATCTTATCATCAGTTTCTTTATACTGATGCGATAAATAATTGGTTTCTATATATTTCTGAGTGAAATAAGGGAGATAATTAGATACTTCCGGTGAAGTAAATGTCACTTCCGGTCTCATATAATAGTTTCTTTCACACTGATTCCAAAAATATATAGTTTCTATTTACTTTTGCTTGTAAACCAGGAGATAACGGGCCACTTTCAGTTTATCAAAAGTCATTTCTAGTCTTCAGTGATAAGTTAATGTATTAAAATTACAAAATATATGGATTCCGAGTACTTTTCCATGAAGAAAGTGCAAAAATGGCTACTTTCGGTTTTCTCAAGGTCACTTCCTTTGTCATTCTTCAAGGTCATATGTCATCCAACCTTTTGTATAAGGTCATATGGCTTTATTATGAACCAAGTTGAAGTAATGATCAATTAACCTTATAATTGGACGTTTCAGGGCACTTACTCCTATAAGATGCCATTAGATTGTTTCAGACCAAATGTAACATATCTTCATTACAATAAAGCAAACATTTTGCACTTGTTGTTTCATATATATCTTGAAAAGTGTTTGAGAAAATGCAAAACAAGGAAAAGTCAAAATTGAGAACTTGACCTTGACCTCATTTTCTAAGTTAGGACCTAGGGACCTCAAATAAAAATATTCCAGGGTTATACGGTTAACGGTTTATGAGTTAAAAAAACATACCGACAAATTTATTTGGTAAAGGTAGATAACTCCTTTAAAATTTCATCGAATCGCTTCGATCTAAATTAGCAAAAAATTCCTGAGGATGTAACGAACAATTTAGAAAAAGAATTTTGTCGATATCTTTTTTTGTTACGAAGGAGATGCACACACTTGATAAACACTTGATAAACAGTGAATAGGGATATAACTCTTACAAAGAAAATAGTTCGGCTTAAAATGGGTGAAAATAAAAAGCGCATAAACGGTATAATACTATGTAAGAAACATCTTAGCGACATATTGCGAAACAAAAATTTTATGCGAAAACAAAATTTGGCAGAAGAAAAAAATAATAATCAGAACAAATACAATAGGTCTTTCCACAGAAAAGTGGAAAGACCTAATAATGAAATTAATTATTTTTGGGGTGTTAAAAGCTTTTTGGATGTTTTAGATAAATTATGTGCTATTAATGGTTCTTTCAATTATGATAACACTTAAAGCTATTCAACTCTCTTCACTATACATCCTCACAATCTTATTAAACAGAAGTTTAATTATTTAATCAAATGGTCAAGGGATGCAATCTTTAACAAATAATTGTCAAATGCAACATATGTCAGGTACCTTGCCCCATGACTATTTATTGTATACACAATGGATGGACACAATTCACTATTAAGAAACTTATAAGTATAAAGAGGCTTCTAAGTCTTTGTCTATGTAAAAAAAAAAACTTGGGACTGTTGTTTCACTTGAAATAATACCTTACAAATCAAAGATGAATAAAAAGCAATAAAAATATACTGGTTACCTAGAATAGGATGTCTCTTGCATATACTTTTTGTACCAGTTTTGACAGAAGCAGACCTGTTTACCACTACAATTTTTGGCGTAGTTACTACTATTTTTGGCACTCAAATTATGCTCTACGCCCAAATAGGTCATTTCTACGCTTTCAAAGATGTTACAGTAAAAAAACAGCAGTATGTAATTTTGAGTCCAAAAGTTATCCGAATGCAAAACAGAGTCTTTGTCTTTTACGTGCTTGATAATGATTATAAAAGTATGTCTTACAAAAGCTCTTGTGATCATAACTTTCAAGTTTGACACATGGCACGATGCCTAAACAAAAGTATCATGGATAGAACGATGAAGGTGGGAATGAAAAAGATAAGCAGAAGAAGCTTTGTCAGTGTTTAAGGCAGAAATATGCTGAGATTTGGAAGTGTCTCGATTCATCCAAGAAGGGAGACCAATACGTATACTGCAAGTTATGCCAAACAGACTTTTCAAGTGCGCAAAATCTAGTCATTAATTGTTTACTTTTTACACATTGTGACTTGGATGGAGAGTTGTTCAATTGGCTTAAATGGGGTAAACAGGTCTGCAGTAGGAAGGTACTTGTTTGGTATTAAGTATAGTATGTTCCAAGTTTATTTGTTATCTTTCAGCACTATGGTTCCACAATGTGATAGCATTAGAATTTGGTATAGCAGTTAATGTTTTCTGGAAACATTTAGATGACAATTTGTATGATAACAAAGATACGTATGGTAACAAAGACTTAACGCCCGCTAGTAGAGCCATGCAGATCATGGACAGAGCTATGAAAGCACTAGAGGAATTACCAGAGGGTTATAAAGATTTTTATGCCAGGAGACTTATTACAAGAATTGAGAGGAAATGTTTACAAAGGTCATTTCCCCCTTAACTATTAAATAAAACATTTTACATTGTGCTGATTTTGTTTTGTTGGAAATTATATCATTGCTTCACACAATACAGTGTTTCCTTTCACCAAATTATCGATTAAACTAACTTATCTAGGCAAATTTGCATTGCAATATTACTAAATATACATATACTTTCTGTAAGAATGTTCATTGGGTCGTGCACTATGTCTTCAGCATTGGCTTTTATTTTTAGCTCAACTGACCCAAAAGGCCAACATAATCTTTTCAAAATTTCCCATCACTGGTTGTTTGACGTTGTCTGCTGTTGTCTTCCATAGATGTCATTGTCCATAACTGTTGTTGTCCATAAACTTTATATTTAAGCTTCTCCTCTGAAAATATCAAGCTTGTCTGTCAACCAACAAGGCTGAAAATAGAACATAGGGGTATAATGTAAGTTTTGTTTTATAAAATTATCTTGCAAACCGTTATAGGTAGAGAAACTCTGACAAGGACAAAACGTCAAAATGTTGAGTGTTTATTTCCATCAATATTGTCAGACGACTTCTGATAGGAGTAATTTCCCTTAAATTATTCTTTTGCATTTTTGCCTTTTATCTTAAAAACTATAACAGATAGACAGAATTTTTAATCGCACAAATGATCAACAAGACAATATCTACAAATTAGTCAACAAGGCCGAGATCGTCAGTCAACTTATTGAAGTTTTTGCCATTTAATTATGATTTTTACTATTTTTTTGTGTTTATACATACACACAGAATAATTTTTGATGAACCACCAATTGAAACGCAACTTAACTATTCTTTCTTGAAATTGAGTTTGGTTATATGTATAGTCTTATATGTATAGTCTTATTAAAAGTTTGTAGCGTATCTGGTCACAAAATGTGTAGTGACATATAATCTCAAAACTCTGTTGTGGTTTTTTTTTATGACAAACTACTTAAAATGACAGATATATACTGGATGAATGGTCATGGATTGGAAAAGGCAAATTAGTATGTGTGTTCTTAAGTAGAGCACTCAGCAGACTTATTGTAATTTGGATATATGTTTTAGAATGTTATAAATGTTATAAGTCAAATATGAGAATTTGAGTCAAATGGGTGAACATCAATATGATAGATAATGCCCCTTTTAAGGCTGGGTCGTTTACATAATCCTATGACACAAAAGGATGCATCTAAAATTTGTCAGTTATTATAAAGTCTGAAAACATCAACAGATATTCTTTGGAATCGGACATAATACATGTAACTAGATATATTTTTTTTTTGGGGAGGGGGGGGGGGGGCTGAGGGTTGATGAAACCCTGGTAAAGAGACAAAACTATCATATACTTTATATGAATTGTGCTATCAAATGTGTTTTGATGACAATATCAAATTTTCTTGGTTAAACAAAATGAATGTGATATACCTCTATAAACTCTCTAAATCTGGTTGAATCTAAAACCATAGAAAAATCATTTGTTTAACATCAAAATCTTAACTAAAATTTTTACCATGTACATTCTAAATTTTACTCAAACTGTCAGATTTTTAAAACAAGATATATTTGAAAATTTTGAACGTTTAAGCTTCAAGTTTAGATGGAGGCTATTTTTTTTAACGTTGAATGTCAATATTTATTAAAAATTTAAAATTTAATACTGGGAATTAAAGTCGAACTTCAACATTTTATATGTCAATTTTTTTTCCATTTAAAAAATTCAGAATATAATTTATAGGCCTATGTCATTTGAATACACTTTTTACTGATTATGCATTCTTTTAAAATCACGTAGCCTGAATAATACACTCACTTGATGAAAAATCGTAATGCAGTACACCTATAAACATATGTGCTTCAAATACATGTTCCTTGTTTAAAATACCGGATCAAACTAAGAAGAAAAGGAATGATACAACATCCTTAATGATAAATGTAAATACATTTTGTATACCTGTTAATATGGAGGCATTTAAACCTGCCATTGTTTCCCTGTTGATAGTTATGTCTACTTATGGTAAGAGTTAAACTGATAATAATAATTAAAAAAATGATAACTATAATAATTATAATAACAGGAAAATAATAATAATAATAATAAGGATAATGATAAAAGATAATGAAATAGTATTTTATCGCCAATTTAAATTCATTTGCTTGATAAAACAGGTACATACTGGAATACTATTTATATCTGAGATATTCTTATGACTTGGTGGTTTCGGAATATCGTGCTCCACACGAGTACTGGAGGTCGTGTTTTTTCTATCCCCGACTGGGTCCAAACATATGGACTCGAAAATTGATATTTGCAGCTTCTTCGCTAAATACAGGGCATTTAGAGCAGCTGTTACATCGTGAACTAGGACGTTAAAAATCCAACTCAGCGTGTTGATCTAGTACAAAGCAGGTTTTATACTCGCATCACATAAACATGGTATCGTCTTGATATGCATGCAACATTTGCCACTGGACGTTAAACACAAATCCATCATCATTATAATCCTTAATTAAAAATCGAATTATGCTGCAAACTTTAACAAGTCATATCTTTGCTACTAAGTTGTGCATTGCAACGCAATCCAAAGAAGATACCTTGTTTATTTTTTTTCAAACCTTGAAACAAAAAAATTAGTATTCTATTTGCTTGTTTCGCTCTTGGTATTTATAAATCATAGTAATGGATATATATTTCTACATACATAAGTTTCAGGATCGTGCCCACCAGGTTTCTTTCATCACCAGGATTCCTGCTATGCTCTCCTTCAACAAGAAGCGACATGGTCTGAGGCAATGGTACGGATGCATTTAAAAGATTTTCTCAGCTGTCATTAAAAATTCCATCAATTTCCAACTACTTGGTACCTAATATTCTTAATGAAAAAAAATCAGTACCTAATATTCTTAATCAACTGTTGACGCAAAGATAATACCGCCTGTGTTTTTGGAAAAGTATGCAAAAGTTTCAAATTAAAACGAGGGGTTTTACAATAATTCAAAACGGAATTTATTGTAGAACCATATCATATTGCGACTAAACTTATATCAGGCCACATTTATTACTTGATTGAGATTGACAAATCTCAAATACCAATTGAAACAGGTAGTTTGGGAAATCTTCCAAGAAAAATAAGCGAGTAAGTGGTTTATTTTGTGACGAGTTCAACTATCTTTTTTTATGTTAAAACGATAAAATAGTTGACCCTCGGAAATGATTTATTCCACAATAAATTAAGCAAGGCCAAACCATGGAAGTATTATATTGATATACTTATGAACTTGTTATTTTTTACTAAAAAAAGGTAGTCCTCTATTATAAAGCTGGACTCCTTTATCCTCTGTACCCCATGTTTTTACTATTTACTCTGTATATTATAGATAATATTGCTTTTGTTTATTATATAATATTATGTTTTTGTTATGCTTATGTTGCACACTTGTGTGCCTGTTTTTTTTTTAAAAATAAATCATGAATCTTGAAACAGTACATTACTGTTGACACAACTGAAGCTGCCCTAAGAAACAATGCGCATATGCCTGGGTTCCGTTGCAAAATCTAACGAGTCAATAGTTGTCATATATAGAGTAAATATACATTAAAAAGATACAAGTCAAATAAAGTAGTTTTATGATCTAGATTCTTAATTTGAATTGTCTTGAAACATATAATCTTATATATGAAGACAACATTTTGGTGTGATACTTACACCATTAATGAATACTTGTCATAGTTTATACTGAAGAGTCAGTCATAACACAAAAGACAAGAAATGAGAAGCCACGAGTTCTTTTCCCATTTTGTCATTATTACTGCACAAAACAACAAAATTAAACAAACGAACAAACAGAAAACAAAAATATTTCAAGCAAGGGAATTTATTCATCTGATTGGACGTTCGTTTGATATTTTGCAGCACCTTTGTGAAATTTTTGGTGCTAGTCTTGCCACAGTTGAAAATGACCAGAAGGATTTGTATATAAAAAGACTCTTAGGAAGGCTTGGAGGTAATTTAGTAAATACAGAGTAAACTGGTCTGAACAGAGAATAAAAATAAGAAAATTTCTTGTTCAAATTAAGGGGGCTTTGATTGTCATCACATGCAAAACATAACACAATGATTCCTTTAAACATTTTCATATTGGAATGAGATAATAATCATAAACCTACATACATTTCGTTATCTTATAAAAATCATGTACGTTTTATTCCAGACAGAATCAGTTACACATCAGTAGACATGATTACAAAATAGCCAAAGGTGCTCATTTAAAATAAAATGCACTCAGTTTAAGAGCTGCCTGGAAGTAAAAATGAATATCTTGTAGGACCTTAACATAAATACTTTCTTGTAAACAACATAGTCAGGTTATTAGTATCAACAAAGACGTTTAATGATATCAATCATATGTAAGCGAATCATTTATTTGTTTTCCATTCTTTTGATTTGTTTGAGCTTTTGATTTTTCTATTTGATTTGACTTTCCGTTTTGAATTTTTCTTGGAGTTCGGTATTTTTGTTATTTTACTTTTTATTTGGAAAGTCTTGTTCTATCTGTTTAAGAATATAGGGTGTCGCTTGGTTGCCACTCTTAAAACTCAAGGAGACCTTGATTTGAGATTCATTCAAGTATGCCTGATGCGGGGTTAATAATCTCCATGGGAATAAGATGTGCAAATGCTTTTACAACTGCATACCAAATATCACTGACTTAGTATTACTGTGTTTTTTTCATAAATTGACATACCCACAAATTTTTACAATTGTTTACGCTGCAGACCCTGACGCCGATAATTCACCTTGAAGAGTTACAATGACTTAGCAATTTTCTCACTAATTAAATATAATTGTCTGGAAATCGTTGTGCCCTATAAAACTTGGCGAGCCATTCTGTAAAATTAAAACATATTTTTAAAAGACGAATGACAGCTCCTGTTGCATCAGCACAGTTCGTATAGGATATATTGCTTGTATACTCTTTGGCTGATGAAACAGGGACCGGTCTTAAGACCTGATGCAGTCATATTGTAAATTACCTTCTGTATACTAT